AAAAAAAACCAGGGAAGACAGACAAAGGGAACCAAGACCTCCTGGAATCACCCCAGCCCTGGCAGGACCCCTGAGGGATGAAGGAAGCTGGTAAGGGGGGGCAGTCCCCAGACTGCAAACATCCTGTCACCATGTACAAGGCGCCACCACAGTCATGGCACACACCTCAAGGGTCAGACAGCGGGTATTGTCCACCATTTGTCTCCACGTTGTACGCTGGACACTGGGGTTCACAGCAACAGTGCTCTCCAAGGTCACGATACCGCCTTGGACCAGGTCACGACTCCAGCCCTGTACTCACTGCCTCCTTGCAGCTGCTAAATGTGAAATATGCAGAACGCTACTTTTTTTTGCGGGGGTGTGGGGGGGGTGTGGGGGGGTGTGGGTACCAGGGATTGAACCCAGAGGCATTTTACCCCTGAGCCACAACCCAGCCCTTTTTACTTTTTATTTAGAGACAGGGTCTTGCTGAGTTGCTTAGGGCCTCGCTAAGTTGCTGAAGCTGGCTTTGAGCTGGTGATCCTCCTGCCTCAGCCTCCCAAGCTGCTGGGATTATAGGCATGCGCCATCGCACCCAACCAGAATGCTACTTTTTACAGTGTATTCTACTTCCTACTTTTAAAGGGCAAATTCTACCTTAATTGTTAGAGAAAACTATCACAGCTCTGTTTGGCTGCATATCCATGTTTACTAGTTCATGGAAAGCCTGGAAATCTACTCCAGCCCTGACTGTAGGGCCCAAAGCCAGTATTCTGCTCTAAAAATGACAGCAATAATAGCCATACCAAGGAGTAATAAGAACTCTCACTTTTGTAGTGTGAACCACGCGACAGGCATCCTTCAAAGCCTTCATAACAACACTGAAGTCGCTGCTATCAGTATACCCATTTTACAGGGAAGAAAGCTAAGGCACAGAGTCAAAGACACACAATGTACCTGGTCACTGAATGACATATACTCCAGTGTGTCACCTGATTTAACCCTCACCACTGCCGCATGAGCATGGTACGGAGACCAAGAGGGATAAGATCTGACCACACCAATCAGAACTGGGTTAAAACCCATGCTGCCTACCCTGGATCTTAATCATCATATGACACTGTCTCCCTCCACTTTACAAACCTGCTCCGGCGGCATCCAGTCGTAACCCACTGTTCAGGATCCAGGTGGAAGAGCTCCTCTCACACCTGCCCAGATCTCTTTTCTGCAAGGCCCTAGCTGCTGGGAGAGGGGGCTGCGGAGGGCGATGCACACCTTTCTCCAGGGATGAGTCTCTGCCCAGAAAAACCTAGAAAGCTATGTCCCCCACCTTTCTCCCAAACAGAGGCTGGAGCCCAAAAGCCCAGTGTCCTTGCTTTGAGATGTGCCAACTCTGAGGTGCCATTTGCTCCACAGTCCCATGGTGACACAGCTGAAACCGCATCTTTGCTTGGCTCTCAGCTTGCCCTGTCCTGCTCCCTGGCTTCCTAGGGGTGTGACTTGAGGACCTGCCCCCAAGAAATCACTTCTGCAGGAAGCCGCGAGTCAGCTGTGCTCCTAGGCAGCCTCACCTGAGGAACCCCAGGCTTCATCAAACCCCACAGCAACAACCCCTCGAAATGCAAGCCTACAAGAAGCTTCAGAACTGGTATTTATGGACTTTTTGAATAGTAAAAGCATTTTCACCCTTTAAATAATCCCACGTTTTTGCATGAGTGTTTGAAGCCAAAGACATTTATGTAAAACATTGAAAATGGAAGAACACTTACTTCACTAAAGAAGCTTTGCGACACAGTTTGTCAGCCCCCCTGTAGTAATTCACCAGCTGCGCCAGCCCGGGCTCGTGACCTGCAAGGAAAGAGCAGGCTCAAAGGGGGGCCTGGACAGGTGGGGAGTGACGGCAAGGCACCAGCATGCCAGATGGGGACCAGGAGGGGCATGCCCAGCTTTTCATTTCAACTTTGGTTGTTAGAAATGGAATAGTTTGGCTTCTCTGTCCCTGAGGGTCTTTCTCTCAGTATCCTTCTGGCCACTCACCCTCCCCCAAGGGATGCTACTATACCAATACTGCAGGTCTAGGAAGACCATGGCCACCTTTGTTTTTTCTTATTGGAGTGGAGCATGCTGGGTATTTTCTCTTCAGCTCTCCCTGGTCTTACTACGCTCCTCTTCCGGCTTAACGTGAAGACTTGCAATCTTTAAATACAGGAAGCTACTTTAAGAGTCATGCTTTGCACCTCCCCAGCCCTGCTTTCTACAAACATCAGAGAAGGCACAGAACTGTGATACTGCTAGTCTCAAGCATGCTGGTCTCTGCCAGCTTCTGGAAGGCACCAGAAGGTAGAGGGAGGTGGTGGGCGGGCCATGTCAGAATGTCAGAAGTAAGAACTTCATTCTGTGCTTCATCCCACAGGGATCTTATTCTCAACAATTCTCATTACCACAACCCTTCTCTATGAAATTAGAGCTGAAAGGATAAAAATAAAAACACAGTTTTACTTAATTTTTAGGGGATACTGGGGAATGATATTTGTCAAATTATATTGTTATATTGTGTGCATGTATGAATATGTAACAACAAATCCCACCATTATGTACAACAATATGCACCAATTTTTAAAAAAGTGGTAAAAAAGAAACTGAAAAAATTTTTTGTTTTGTTTTGTTTAAAATCCTAATAATCCATGCATGGTGGCACATGCCCATAATCCCAGCGACCCTGGAGGCTTCGGCAGGAAGACAAGTTTAAGGCCAACCTGGGTGACTTGGCAAGACCTTGTCTCAAAAATAAAAAGGGCTAGGGTTATAGCTCAGTGGTAGAGCACTCCTGGGTTCAAATTCCAGTACTGCAAAAAAATAAATTTGTATATGCATATTTAAATTTTATTTATTAACAAAATGCACTGCATTTCCTATAATAGAAAGTAAGATGGAATAAAGGCATTATGAGTTGATGTCAGAGGCAATGATTCATCAGAGAATGGCATACGCCCAAATCAAAAGTGTCAGGCATTACTTGAATTTCAGTGCTTCCCTGTGGTAGAGAGACCCTCATTCTCCCTGCATGGCCCTCTCCACATGCCCAGGGCCCTGAGCCCTTACCTGACCCCTGAAGCTCCTTGGTTTCCATGTAGCACACGTTTAGTAAAAGGTAAATAACTCCAGTTAACAGCACAAAACCTATTTTCTTTCCCATAAAAACTAAATATTTGCTGATCACCTGCTGAATCTACGGTGCCTATGTAAGATTCGAAACATATAGGTTTCTGCTTCTCACCTCCTTGCTGGGCATGAGCTCCACAGCTATGCCAACTGCCCCACCTCCACCTGGGCAGTGCTGTCTTTGACTGTTTTCCATATTAAGACTCCATCTAAGCTTTCACAGCCAGACACCACCAAGCACAAGAAGAAAGGAAGGCAGGAAGGGCAGTGGACAGAGTCAGAGGAAGTAACTTCTCGACTAGAAGCATTTGTTTCCTTTCCTCTTTCAGGGAAATAATTCCACATGAACATTACCTCCTCCACCCCACTCCCCCAGCTTTTTTGAGGAAGGCTTCCTGAGGAGATCCTTTAACAGGAAGGACTCTCCAAGCACACTCCCTGTAATACTAGATTTCTGGGGGGCTCCTGTCAGCCCTTCCATGGAGTCACCATTCTTCATTATAAACTTGCATGGCAATGGGAAGTTGTCCCCAGCACTATTTCAAAGAAAAAACTCAGGAAGGCATTGCCTCAACAAGTTTGGTTCTCAAACACTGGCCTCACCCAAATGCTCTAGTAAGTTCACCAATGGCCAGTCAACTCCAGATGGCCTGTTTCCATTCTCTGTCCACTCATCCTTTTTCTGAAAACCCTCTCCTCTCCCCAACATGGCAAGAACACCGCTCCCTTTGGTTGGCCCTCCAAGACTGAGGCTTTTTCTCGGTATCAATTCTCCCCTTCTATCCTTGGAGTACAACTGACCCCCACCCCTGGTGAGTTCTGGCCAGGAACACAGCTACCCAGAGAGCCCTTCCCAGATGACTGTGCAGTGAGCAGGTCCCCGGGATGTGAGTGCACCTTCCGGAGAACTTCTGGATTACGTCATTTGGAAAGGAGCGGCTGGTCCTCCCCTCACTCCTGTCCCTTCCTAAGGAGAGTAGGTGGACAGGGTGGTGCCAAGCCGGCTTCTACCACGTGAAAAGGCAATTCCCTCCGGACAGAGATGGAGGGGAACCAAACCTCTGGTTAAAACCTTTATTCAATGCACAACTGTAAAAACACGTTCGTTGGTGAAGCCTTCGCTAAATTGAGACGCTCCTCCAGCTTTCCCTGGGGTAGGGTCTCCTCTGAAGCTCCGCTTTTGAATCCAAATGGCTTTTCAGAATGCCCTCCCTGCCTGTTATCCGAGCCTTGCGCGGGTACAACCCCAGGTTCCAGCACCTTCAGGGCCCCCTTCCACGCCCACACCAGGCGGGGCGACGTCCTCCGTGGGAGACGCGCAAGGAGACTTCCCGGCTCTGCGGAGCCCCGCGTGCCCTGCGCAGCCTCGCGTGCCCTGCGCTCAGCTCCGCCAACCTGCCCGACCCGGGGCGTTGGGCCCGGGAGCCGGGAACCAGTGGCCGACAGCCCCCATGGTGCAGGGACAGGTCATTGTCAGGAGTAGCGGAGCCGCACCGCGAGTCCCTCCGAATGGGACTCAGGAAAGCCGAGAGCGTTAAGAACGAGCGCGGGCGTTGGCGGATCCGCCCGGGATCAGCCCGGGAAGCCTCACGAGAAGCCACACGGAAGGGAGACTCGCGACCTTAAAAACAAAAGCGCCGGCCGCGGCTGTGGAGCGCGCCCCGGCCGGGGGCGGGGACGGGGACAGGGACGGGGAAGGCTCACCCAGTCTCCCGAAAGGCAGCCGGTTCCTCTCGCCCAGCATCAGGTTGAACCTGGGATTGTCTCGCCTCAGCCTCTTCCAGTGGCCGGAGGCGAGGAGCAGCCGGGAGACCTCGGCATAGACGCTGCTGTTCTCGTCGCGCACCACGAAGGTGTACATGGCGAGGCCGCGCGCCCGGGCCCCAGGTCGCCGCCCGAGGACGAGCCGGCCGAGGCGGTGGCTCCGCGTGGACGGTGCCCGCCCCCCGCACCGCACTGCTCTCGGGCCGCGCCTCCCGGGCCCAGGCGGCGCCTTCTCGGGCGCCCGCGTCCGCCCAAGTGGCGAGCGCCGCCGGGACGCCGCGCCCTCCGCCGCGCAGCCCCGCCTCCTCCCCGTGATTCCGCGCGGCCAGCTCGGCGCCTGCGGGCCGCGCCCCCAGCCCCGGGCCAGCCGGTGGGGGTGCCCTGGGGGTGCACTGAGCCGAGCGAGCCGAGACCACAGCCAGGCGGTGCCAGCGGAAGACCCCCCTTGCAGAGTTCCCCCGCTCCGCCACCTCTTTCACAGGGACTTTTATGGGTGAATAAAAGTTGCTCGGCCCCGTCCTGTGTCCGAGTGAGCAGCGCTCCCTTCCTCTCCGCCCAACCACTAGAGCACCTAGAACGTTGCGGTACTTGCTTAGTTGGAGTAGAGCGCTCTTTTCAAGTTCTGAGACCTCCCGATTGTCGCACAGCCCGGGGGCCGGGGTGACCCCAGCGTCCACTGGTGGAAATAGTCCCGAACAGGCTTCAGGGAGTCCTGGACCCGTTCCCGACCTGCCCTTCCAGCGTGGGCCATGAGCCTTCTCTATTTCGGACCTCGTCTTGTCTAAGCTACTTTTAGGAAACCGATTTTGGTGCATTTGAGGGTCAGAGAGGACAATGACTATCAGGTTTTCCGCAAACGTGCCCATATGCCCTCGTGAATGACCTACCCCAGCCTTGTGCCTCACAGCTATTACTCTGCTTTAGAGAAAGAACCTCCCATCCTGTGCTCCCCGCGTTCACAGTATCTACCGAGCATTCTGTAAAAGCACCCTCCTCCCCCAGCTCGGCCCACATTCGCTCACTTTGCAAAACCATTCTAATCTGTGCACTTTCGCTGTCCCTGGGGAGCTTGCTCGGTGCACAAAGGCAGCAACCCAGAGTGCGGGTGCTTAAGTTCCCTCTCATCCCTCCATCCATCAGGATAAGAGTGGGTTGACAATGCACTGGCGTCCTCACCCCTGGCAGCATATGCTGCCAGGAGGTGCATTTCCTGGACTGTATTTCAAGGTATCTACAGAATTCAGCCCCTGCTGTCCACAGCTGTCCAATGCACTTCTCTTGGCTTCCTTCCTTTCCCTAACTCACTACCCCACTTGCTCCTCCACAGATATCACCTTGCTTTTAAGTCCTTGTTCCAGGATCACCTTTTGGGAGACCTCATGCTAAGATAAGCCATACCTGCTGCTTGTCACCGAAGGCCACATTCTTTCCTCCAATAGTTGGCTTCTCTGCCACTCCACAGCCATGGTCTCCCTAGCAACGCCAGGGATCCTCAATTCAGTGGTTCTCTTTTTTTTTCTCACCTATCTTTTATGGTGAACACTATTTAAACTTGTTTTAGTTTTAATTTGGGGGCAGTGTTCCTTATCCCCTTTGCTAGATAATAGTATTCATCTTTTCCCCTCCGGACTTTATGAGACTCTGGAGAGATGAACACAGTCCATTATGGGCACAGGAAAGGCAATCTCCCAGTTCAACAGGGCTACTCCATCCCTTTCTGCCATAGTAGATGGTAAAGCATAAGAACATGACCCAAATCTGGACAATCTGATTCTTTGTGGGATTTGGAGCTATAAAGAAAAAACCAATTTTTTATTTTATTTTTACAGCTGAAATTGCTCAGATGGAAGACTGTGTGCCACAACATGTAGCTATCTTAGTATCCTACAAAGAGGAAGACTCTGTCTGTCTGAGACTTTGACTTCCAGCACTCCCTTGAATTAGGCCTGGCTCTCTGGCTATACAAGAGGAGTAATATGCTTTACTTCCTATTCTGGACCTTAAAATTAGAGCATGCCGCCTTCTTCCAAATGCAGAACCACAATAACAACAAAACAAAAAGATGCAAATGTTATAGTTAAAGCTTCGTCCTGGGGTTTCATACACTGACTTCCAGACCACTCACATATAATTGAATCAAGCCTTTATTGAAGCACACCGGTGGCGGCTGACTAGAACATAAAGCTGTTCCCCTGATCTGCCCTGAACAATTGCAAGGGCACTACTTATAAACCTGAAAACCGCAAAAGGGATGTTTGGGGGTTCAGCCAATGCAAGCAAGCCAGGTTACAGAAGCGGGACAGTGCAGTCAGGCAGTGGGAAGCCTAAACAATCACAGCCCAGTCACCTCAGTTACAGAAACAGAGCCTTGTTCCCCTAGTTACAGAAACAATGCCCCATTAGGTAGTTTGCGTGTTCTTAAAGGTTTCTATAGCAAAAGGAAAAGAACATCTTGCCCCAGTCATGACCCTTTTCCTTGGCATGGTTGTTTCTACAGAATGGAGTCACAAAACAAAATGGAGTCACATTTGCTTTTACTATCACGCAAGGATTCTACCAAAATTGGCTCTTTGATTGATCCTAAAATAAACTTCAACAGCCAGGTACAGTGGCACACACCTATAAGCCCAACATCTGGAGAAGCTGGGGCTGTAGGATTATAAATTTGAGGCCAACCTCAGCATCTTACCATGCCCCTCAGCAACTTAGTGAGGCCCTGTCTCAAAATAATAAGTACAAAGGGCTGAGGATGTAGCTCAGTGGTAAAGCACCCTGGGTTCAATCCCCAGTACGAACACACACACACACACACACACACACCCCTTGAAAAATCTCCACAGGTTGAGACAATTCTAAACACTTTCTCTAACAACAGTGGAATTAAGTGGCTAGGAAATTCAGTAATATACTTCTAAATAACCTATGTTAAGTGAAGAAATCACAATAGTATAAGAAATATTGGCTGGGGATGTGGCTCAAGCGGTAGCGCACTCGCCTGGCATGCGTGTGGCCCGGGTTCGATCCTCAGCACCACATACAAACAAAGATGTTGTGTCTGCAAAAAAAAAAAAAAAAAACCTAAACCTAAATAATTCATTTTTTTAAAAAAAGAAATATTGTTTAACTGAATGACAATAAAATTATGACATCAAAACTGGTAAGATACAGCTAAAGCCATGGTTAAATGAAAATTTATAGCCTGAAGCACAAATGTTAGGAAAAGAAGACTGAAAGTCAGTCGTTCAAGCGTCATCTCATGATACTAGAAAAAGGACGACAACATCACACCCAAAATAAGTGGAAAGAAACCAAGGAATGAAGAAACAGATATACCAAAAATAAATCAACAAAGCCAAAAGGAAAAAAAAAAAAAAAACCTATTTGGGCTAGCTCATGGGTAGAGCACTTGCCTAACATGCGAGAGCCCTGAGTTCAATTTCCAGCATTACCAGTAAATAGATAAATAAAATTTAAAAATACACTACTTAAATTGCTAACCATTCACAGCCCAGCAAGAAGGAAAGAAAGAAAGGGAGTGCAAGTAATCAGTACTAAAATGTCTAGGGGAACCCACTAGAAATCCTAAAGATGTTTAAAAATAAGGTACTGGGGCTGGGGATGTGGCTCAAGCAGTAGCGCACTCGCCTGACATCTGTGCGCCCGGATTGGATCCTCAGCACCACATACAAACAAAGATGTTGTGTCCTCGGAAAACTAAAAAATAAATATGTTGAGAGCCACAGCCAAAGGAGCCCCAGCAAACTTTCAGCTGCCAGCAAACTTCCAGCTGCCAGCTGATGATTGGCTCACAGCAGCCCCAGCAAACTTCTAGCTGCCAACTGATTGGCTCCTCTGCGGTGATGCTCATTGGGCTGTTTCCCCGCCCTTTCAGACCGCGGAGCTGCTCACTGGGGGACTTTTTTTGGCTCCGCCCATGTGACCTAGCCAATCGGCCTCAAGAGCAGGAGGAGTGGGGGAGGTTGAGAGGCTTGTGGGAAGCTGGTGGTGGCAGTTGGGCTCTGAGGGTTTTTCCTGAAGAGCAGTGTGGTGTGATGTGTGTGTGTGTTCTAAAAATAAAGTTCGTTTCTTTTGACAAATGGCTCCTGAATTGTGCCCAGCCAGACTGCGGCATAAATATTAAAATAATAATAATAATAAAAAGTACTATAAATAATTCTTGCCAATGAATTTAATAACTTGGACAAAACAGACAAATTCTATGGAAAATCCTAGTTTACCAAAAATGATTAGAAAGTAATATGAAATCAGAATAATTTCATATCTGTTAAAGAGATTGATTCATTTGTAGATGACATATATAGAGAGAAAAAAACTAAAAATATCCTGAAGATTATACAGATACCCCAAAAACATTAACCCTAATAAGCAAATTTAGCAAAGTTTAAGAACAATTCAGAGAGGAAGTTAAGAAAATAATTCCATTTTACAATAGCATCAAGTAGCCAGGTCAAAAAGAGAAGATTTCTTTTTTTTGGTGGACCCAATATTTTTATTTTTATTTATTTTTATGTGGTTCTGAGGATCGAACCCAGTGCCTCACACACGTGAGGCAAGTATTCTACCACTGAGCTACAACCCCAGCCCAATAAGACGAGATTTAAAAAAAAAAAACTGTCATTTTTCAAAGATGACATGGTTATATATACAAAGCAAATCTTAAGTCGCTAGACATAAGACCAATATATAAACACTAATTGTATTTCTGTCAACAACAAAGAAATAGAAGATGAAAAATTTTAAAGATACAATTTATAGTAGCATCAAAAAATGTCAAATACTTAACATTACTAAAGAAAACTATGCAAGAACTCTACACTGAAAACTACAAAATGTGACAAAAGAATTTAAAGAATAAAATAAAGGAAACATACACTATGATCATGATTAGAAAACTCAAAATTGTTAAAGCTGTCTGTCCATTTTTGCTGAATGGATCTGCAGTGCAATTCAAGCAAAATCTCTGCAGAGCTCTCCACAGAAATTGACAGGACAATTCTAAAGCTCATATAGAAATGCAGAGGAACAAAAATAGGAAAGGCAGGCTGAAGGAAGGCTACCAGACACCAATCCACAAAAGTTATAGAATTTGAATATAAAGGTATTGCAAGATGTAGTAGCTCACGCCTGTAATCCTAGAGACTCCAGAGCTGAGGCAGGAGGATTGAAAGTTCAAAGCCAGCTTCAGCCACTTAGCAAGGCCCTAAGCAGCTTAGCAAGACCTTGTCTTTGAAATAATAAAAAAAAAATTTAAAGGGCTGGGGATGTGGCTCAGTGGTAAAGTGCCTCTGGTTTCAATCCCTGGTACCAAAAATAAATAAATATAAATAAATTTAAACAAATAGATAAATAAATATAAAGATATAGTAATTCAGGAAGCAGGATTTCAAAGAAATAGATCAGTGTAAAGAGACCCATGTCCCTGTGGTCACAGAGCAAGGTCCCGCAGCTGCCCTCATATTGAATACCCAACCTCCAGAACCAAAAGAGAAGGTTTTTGTTTGTTTGTTTGTTTTAAGCCACCCAATTTATGGTTGTTATAGCAGTCCTAGGAAACTAGAATACTAACTAAGATATACAGGTATTTTGTTTTAATGTTCTTTTTTGAGTGCTATTAATACAATTTCATAACTCTCCTGGAAAAAAAAAAGACACGAAAAGCTAGGGATAAAGGGAAATTTTGATGGATTGGAAACCGTGAAAATTAGAACTTTCATGTCTCAAGAGACACTATCAAGAGAATGCAAAGGAAAACCACAGAGCAGGATGAGAGGCCCGTGGAAGCTTCCATGGGGAGCTGGGTAGACATATGTAGGGTCTATGCCTTGAACCCCATGTGGTCTCCTCACCCCCTAACCACCAATCTCTAATAAAAAAATGTCACCCAAAGGGTCATTTTCCATCCTCTTGCTGCCAAGAGCTATGGGAAGAGGCTACTGAAACCTCTGCAACCCTCAGTCTGATTGGCAAACCAGCCTCCCAGATGAAAGCTCTGTGGCCCTGGTCTATAGCTGGAAGGGTCTGGACGGAAGCCTGGCTCATCCCTTAGCCTTCAAATGCTCCCCATTTCCCATCCTGACATTCCACCATTATGATGTGACTTTTAGTCTGGGCATTGCTGCTTATTAAAATCCATATGCCTTAAATATTATGAAATATAATCAGTAAAACTTTAGTAGTAGAGTTATTAGGGGGCAGGTGTTTGAATTTTAACAGGTTCTATTAAAGGAGGACTGCAACCATAGGTACCTGCTGACCCAGGAGGAGAGGGGTGCAAGGCGGGCTCTTGGTTTGGGTACCAGTTCTTTTGGAGGGGTGGATACGCTGTCCTGGAGTGGCAGGGACAGGCTAGAGGAGATATCTCAGAGGCACTTGACGGCCGGCCTTCTCTTCAGCCCCCATCACCCTCATCCAAACAATAAACACTCCAGATGGACCCATCCATTCATGGAATGTAGCTGCCTTACCTTCTGGGTTCAACCAAATATAAACGCCACTCTTGGGTGACTTTTGGGGCTGAGTCTAGGGGACAGAAGCAGCTGCCACCGCTGTCCCCATCACTCCAAATAATGTGCAATCATCTTCAAGCTCCTCCTGTCCCGATTGCCCGAACAGGTCCTGCTCCTCGCAGATGCAGCAATCGCCAGGCAGATGGTGGGGACGGCCGGCAGGTGCCTGGCCTGCCTGGACGCGCTGGAGGCGGCGGAGGACGCGCCCTCGCTGCGTGACCACTTGGGGGAGCTGGTGGCGGCGCTGCAGCACCTGGGCGGGCTGGTGGCGCGCGGACGGAAGGAGAGCTTGGGTCCCACGGGTCTTCTGTTGCGGGAAAGCATCCCCGAGCTGCTCGCGACTGCCCGAGGCCACCTCCAGCATCCGCGCAACTCACAGCTGGCCGCGACCCGAAGCCGCGTCTTCGCTACCACCAGGAAGACCCTGGAAGAGCTGCTGGAGCGGCTGGAGTCCGGCGTCGCGATCCCTGAGGCTGGGACCCGTGTCGGCGCGCTCTCCTGGCGCCTGCAACAGCTGCGTGAGCTGCTGGCGACGTCCGAGCACCTGCGCGACGGCCAGCTGGACGCGCCGCTGGCCGCCGTGGTCGCGCACTGCATGCACCTGGCCGCCTGCTCCGCGCCGCCAGAGAGGCTGCACCTGGTGGCCCGCTGCGGCCGGCTGCTGGAGGTGCGGGGCGCCATCCGGCGCCTGGACGGGAGCGACGGACCCCCGCGGACAGGCCAGGAGAGGCTGGAGACCGCCGAGGAGCGCGCGGCGCTGCTGGCCGCCACCGACGCCCTCTCCCAGGGAGTGTGCGCTGCGCTCCTGCGCCAGATCCTGGACACGTTCACAGACACCCAGAGCCCTCTTGAAAGGCTGGTCCGCGTCGCCTTGTCGACTTCTGCAGTCGGATCGCTGGGCGCGGGCGGGGACTTGCGGAAAGGCCTCCAGCGTTTCCGTGCAGCTTTCCACGAGCGGGCCGAGCAGATGCTCCGGGTGGCCCACTTGGTCTTGGTTTGCTGCTCCCGGCGACAAACTGGTAGAGACCTGGAGGCCGCCGTGGCAGACCTTGGCGGGCTGGTGGCCAGAGTGCACCAGCTGTTCTCAGGAGGCCCCGCAGCGTCTGGTGCGGACTGGAGCCCCGCTGCCCTAAGGGCCCTGCTTCAGGCCTGGGCTCGGGCGAACGAACGCCTCGTGGCCTGTTTTGATGATGTTCTCAACATCCCTGAATTCCTGAGCGTGTCCACTCAGGAAATGATCAAGCACTTGGACTTCCTTGCATGGGCTTTGAGGAGTGGAGATCCCGGAGGGTTTTCCAGGCCTGTGATGTATTTGCAGGGCCGAGCCGCACACATAGTGCAGGTAGTGAATAGGTATGTGGGCCGCGATTCCGATCCCATTTTCCGGAATGGCCTGAGAGTTTTGATCTGGCAGCTGCAGCAGTCTTCCTTGGCCCTGGGTGCAGCTACCCAGCACAGGTCAGGTGGGTGCAGCTCTCAGGATAGAGAGGTGCTTTTAGCCATGGCAACACATCTCATCTATTCCGTTCAGCAAGTCCAAGAGGGATTGGACGGGACCAACCATCCACATATCCTCAGCCCTCTTCGAGACCAAGTCCAAAGATTTGACATAGCTAAGGGACAGCCTCATACCCTTCTCCCAAGCCTCCAGGACAACTCACTTCCTGGGTGGAAACACCAAAAGGTCCCTGTGTTAGGGGAACGTGACCTGGCCATGCCCTGTCCACCAACAGACTGTACTTCTCACCCCTGGAGTCCTAACACCTGTACACAGAGGAGATCTGCTGCTCCCCTCACCACCAGCAAACTCACTCTTGCTGAAGAGAGCCAGGACCTCCAGGCAGTGGCCTCAACTTGCACCCAAGTGCTGGAGCAGGGTACAGACACAGATGCAGCTCAAGAGGGTGGGGAGGGACCACCGGGATCAGAGAGGATGATGAGACTCCAAGAGATCCCGACACTGGCACCTTCTGTTATTGACGTGGCCAGGGAGACAGCCCATAGCACAACTTCTAGAAGTGATAGCTTTCTAGAAGCCACTCGCCGACTGTCTGGGGGGACCAGGGAAACCAGGCAGGTTTTGGTAGCCACGGCTGGTGACTGGTATCCTCTGTGTCAACAACTCTTTTGCCATAACCCCCAAACTGATCTACCAGGGAGCATTTCAGTATTCACAGAGCTTCAGCAGAATTTAACTTCAATGGTTCAACTAGCAGCTAAAAGTTGCGGCAAGGATCTGGATAAGAAGGATCCTGACTCCTTGGGACATCCAGAAGTGCTATTACAAATCGGGGACAGATTGGAGGAGGCAGAGATCCATGCCAAACGGCTGTTGGACATGGTTCTGGCCTCTGATGGTCTCCAAGCTCCTGCATCTTGGGAAGAGAACATTGAGAATGGATGCCTTCTGTGGTCAGTGGCTGTCCAAGACCTGATCCAGAACATGGAGAGGCTCAGCGGGAGACAAGGCCTGTTTCTACTGCCCCTGCAACAGGCTGTAAAGGATCATCAGGGATTGAAGGAAGGGTTGGATCAGGTAGCAGATGTTTCTCAAAGGCTGCAGGAGGCTGCCAGTCTGTCCGGCCTTCTGTGTGGGGATGAGCAGGTAAAGGGTGAGATCTCCTTTCTGTGCAGGGAGGTTCATGTACTCAGAGACGCTCTGCTGGATGTGGCACAGATCCTAGGCTCCTCCCCCAAACCATCTCCCAGCCTGTCCACACGCTTTCAGCTTCTCTGCCTGGAGCTCACCCTCCGAGCCAAGACCCTGACTGGCCACCTCAGTGGCATCAATGCAGAGTAAGAATGTGCCTTTCAAGATGCTATTTGTCCACAGTTCTCTGTCTGCAAGAACTCCCAGACCAGGACAGAAAGGTCCCTAGAAAGAATGGTATCTGGTATCCAAGCTGTACAGGGAATTGTAGTGAGACGTCAAGAGTCTGGGCCTTGCCCAGAAGACCTTCTTATAGCTCTGGAGAGCATTCTCATCCTCACCAAGGAGGTGAACCAGAGGGTTTCTGTGCTCCAAGAAGGTCCAGAGGAGTGGGACATGCATGTGTTGGAGTGGCTTCGGTGGGAGTGGGCAGCCAGGGCCCACCATGTGGTGGCCCAGCTCCAGGCCTGGAAAGGTGGTCATACCAAGGCCTGGAATCTCCTGGACCAGTGCTTAAAACTCAGGGAGGAGCCAGCAAGGGCCCCAGAACAGGACTCCATCCAGCCCCAGCTCCACTGTGAGGAGGGTGCTGCGGGAGGCAAGGTGGATGCTCAGGGTTCTGCCCCCAGGGCCACCCTTGGGAGTTCAATGGGAACCTGCACGGCTGAGCCAGCTGTCGCTGGGACCCCCCCAGCAAGCACGGGCATGGTAGGCTCCTCAGCATCTTTTCTCCACCCACACCTCAACCCTCTTCTAGGCATCAGAGATCCTGCCAAGTTCCAGGGTCTCAGTGCCACGATGTAATTCCCCCTGGGCAGGCAGCACGCAGCCTCCAAGAGCCCAAGCTTGGCAGTCAGCTGTCTGGGCTGCACCTTCTGCTACCATTTCCCAGCTGGGAAGCTTCATCGCCATTTTGGACTCTGGCACTCTAGCCTGATGGAGGATGAAGGGTATCCAGGCAAAATATTTGCATTTGCCTGGCCTGTGGCAGTGTCCTAGAAGCAGTGCCTACCTTAGTACTGTCTTCCATGAGGTTTTCCCCGGTCACCCCACCCGGAAGTGGTTTCCTTGCCATGACTGGCAGCACTCTTCTTGAGGGATAGGCTTTCTCATGCCACTTTGACCTCCACAGATATCACTTGCGTGCTCCAATCAGGGTTCTTTTCTTTGCAAGTGGCGGGAAATCAGTGCAATTGCTGTAGCAAGGGGAAAAAAGAAGGATTTATTGGAAAGATGTGGGGTCTGTCCTTCCACATGCACTCATTTCTTTCCAGGGTGAGACAGGACACGTAGGACACCCATTCATATTGACCAAGGCCAGCGTCAGCAGGACATAGACTAGGTTGGCAGGGCTCGGGAAGTTCCTCAGCAGACTTGTTCAGGCCGGGCCATGGCACAGCCTGGTCCGTCCCCCGTGTGAGGTTATGCTTGGCTGGGCAGAGCCTCCCAACCATTCCTGAGATCTCCTCCCAGGTGCAACTGACCACCCCCTGTGCTTCTCCACCAGTTACTTTTCCCTCATTTTCCTCACTAAAATGTGATTGCCCTCAGAAGCCACCCTATTGCCACGGGAACAGAGAGGACAGTAAGCACAGTTCCTTCTCCTGTCGCCAGAGTCCTCTGCTCCGATACCAGCAGGGCTCTGGGCTCACTCACTGCCCTCCTCTAGTCACACAGATTCCCCTGCCTGGCAGCCTCTTCCCCCCATCCCTGTTTCTCCATAGGGTTTGGACAGAGCTGGTGCCGCTGGGTTCACTGACAGGCCCCTTGATGGACTCTCCTCCATCAGAGCCTCTCCGTGGAGCATCCCCCAAGGCTCAGGGCAGGTGGATGCAGCTGCCCAGGTCTGAAGGCCTCCAGGATGGAGAGCAGCAGCTCCAGCAGCCCCTTTGCCCCTCTTGACCCTGCAGGGAAGTCCTTTCTCTGTTGGGGTCTGGGTCCCCCAGGTGAGGGGCAGGCCCCCATATTCTGCTCTTTCCACTCCAGGGGAGTGCTGTCCTGCACGTACAGGGGAACACTGGGACAGGGAAGGACTCTGCCTCCAGGGCCACCCTAGGGTGTGAGGACAGTCAGAGAGGCCAGCATTGCTGCCTGACACATTGCCGTATGATGCTGTCCCCACACCCTGGGGCTCCTGTGGTACAGGCATGCCCTCCACTCAACCCAGACCAGCATCTCACAGTGAGCCTCCCTCAGAACCTGACAGGGAAGACAGGGGCCTAGAGAGGGGCTTGTGCATCCCCTGCCCTAGTGAGTCACCCTCCGAATCTTTCCTGCAGCCAGGGGAACTCGGACACAGTGTCCTGGGCTCCTCGCATTATGGAAGGGCCTGAAGACAGATGTGGGTTTGGATGCTTATGGCCCCCACAGTTCCATCTGGGACATGAGTGGAAAAGGGTATTTCCCAGCCTCCTCACCCTTAGCTGGGCTCATCAGGGTACCATTTCCTCCCCTGGCCTTCAGTCCCTGCAGTTGAGTCTTGGTCTCAGCAGAGTTTTCTCCCTTGTCCTTCTTTTCATCTTCTGAGTCCCTTACGGCTGGCCTGTTGGTGCTCTCTGGAAAAGGCTCCCAGCATTCAGAGGGTACCCACACTGTCCAGAACTAGACCAATGAAGCAGTAGAGGACACTGCACATGGTCAGAAGGTGGGGATGATTAAACTGAAAGCAACCAACAGGAGTAAGGCCAGGTGACTTCTTGGTTCACACTAGTTCAAGTTTCTTAATCCACGTCTTGCTGCTATAACAAAAATACCACGTGCTATGTAATTATATTATAAAGACAAGAAATCTATTCAGCTCACAGTTTCAGAGGCTGGGAAGTCCTGGATGGAGGGAGCCATCTCTGAGGAAGTAAGAAAAAGACATAATCAAAGAATTTCTCAACTCAGTTACTGGATTTACTTCCAAATGCAGAATAACTTGTCAATTCCAGGGTCAAGAAAAGGCTTAGGGAAGGCTCTGCTAAAAGTTCAATAGGGAAAGAACATGGCCTAACTGTGAGCATGGAGCCTGCTTGTAGATATCAGGGGCAGCTCTTTTTTCTCACTAGAAAACAACCACCACCAAGCTCTTGTGTGTGTGTGTGTGGTGGGGGGGAGGTCATAGTTTTTGATACCCAAACCTTTAGGTCCTTTTGCAAAAGTGTCTTCCCAGAGTTGGAATATTGAAGGATTCTTGAATTTCTTCAAGAGCTGCAGATGATCCTTCTCCCATGCAAAGTCTAAAACTTCACAGAAGAAAATAACATTTAATATTTTAATGGTATCTGGAACTAAGTGTACCAGGTTTCGGTTTATGCCAATTCCAGATGAACGGAGCACAAGTTAATAGGAAATCATCCTGTCCCCTCATTATTCTCCTAAATATTTGGGGTAGATGGCCAAGACTGCTGGGATTTGGAGGAATCAGGAAACCCTCCTGACTCCCTTTCCTCTTTCTTTAAAACATAATAGAAACGCAGTGGGCAGGCCGCTGCCGTCTGAAGGCTGAGGGCCAGCAGGGCCACTCTGTTAATGCACTGTCTTCTTACAGCAGCAGGACGCCTCCCCCGACTCCCCCAGCCGTGCAGCCAGATCTCACGCTGAGCTGGACCAGCCTCCCCAGGAGGACCAGGACGGCAGCACAGGCAGCACAGGCCACGAGAGCAGAAATGCCCAGATCACTCGGGAGATGACGGAGCAGGTGTCCCTGATGGCTCAGAGCCTGAGGAGGAGCGGGCACGTCCTGGTACTGGGCATCAGCAGCCATGGTGGTGGGAGGCCTGGGCATTATGGGAAGTTACTCTCCGCACTGCTGCCCTCCAAGAGCCAGGGCCGCCCTGGGCAGCTCCCAGCAGGCAGGAAGGGCGCACGTGGCACCACTTGGCACTCACATCTCTGTGCAGTCCCTTCATCATCTACCTGGGAATAGCTTGATGTCACCACCCCTCCTCCTTCCTCTCCTCCGCTACTGGGTCTCTGAGGCTTTGTCACATTGCACCAGGGAAGATAATTTCCCCAAAGCTGAAGGGAGCTATTTATGTCTTTAAAACTCCCCAAGGCAAACTCAGAGTGGTGGTACACAGTTGTAATCCCAGTGATTTGGGAGGCTGAAGTAGGAGGATTACAAGTTTGAGGTCGACCTCAGCAACTTAAGGAGACCCAGTCTCAAAATAAAAAATAAAAAAGGGCTGGGCATGTGGCTCAGTGGTTTAAAACCCCTGGGTTCAATTCTGAGTACTACCCCCACCCCCCAAAAAAAAATCCCCAAAGCAGCCACTTCCTGAAGGCTGACCACTCAGGGCCACTCATCCTGGAGGGAGACCCTGCTCCCACCAGCCTTGGGGGGCCAACTTCAATTATATGAGGCCTATTCTAATTCTCTTCATCCCTCTGCTTGGTTAAATTGAAGTAAGCATTCTTTGATATCAACACACCTGCAAGGAAAAAAATAAGAAGTCCATTTGCTGAGTGTGTGAAAGGAAGACATAAGATGGCAATGAGAGGCTCGCAGAAAGCCTCCGGTGTGGATCTACGGCAATCAGCAGCTCCCAAATCCACGGCTGAGCCAGGTGGGCCCCGCTCTCAGTCTAGGGTGAAGGGTCCAAAAGAGAAGGGTGGGTGTACCTGGCTAGGGGACCTCAAACCCAGCAGCCCCCTCCACACCCAAGCCTCAGACCTTCATTGTCCTGTCCCTGTTCCCAATCCCTGCCCATTACTACTGGTCAGCCCCTCACTGGAACAGTGACCCCAGGGTCATCAGAGCACAGCTACGTCCTCTTGCTGACTTTTCTTTCTAAGCATCTCAGATATTCTGATTTATCTAAAACTTGGGTGCTGGCAGAGTGGCTAAGGACCCCAAAATATGGTCCTCCACCCACTGAGTTCCCTGTGGTAAATATGGAGGAGATGACAAAAGGAGAACCAAAGGACCCCCTTTTAACAGGAAAGCTAGCGCCTGGTGAAAGAGAATCCCTGTGCAGGGACCTCCCCCAGCTCCCCAGACCCCAGTCCTGATCCTGGACTTTAGCAGCCACAGTATCTGTGCTCTAGGGCCAGAAACAAGAGTTTAAAGGGCTGGTTGGGAGGCACTGGCGAGGCGCATGGTGGACCAGGACTTCCTGAAGCAGTGCAGTCAGATGTCATGATGTGATCAGAGGCAGCCTTACCAGCAGCTCCGCATCCCCGCAGGGGGGTGCTGGAGTTGCAGGAAGCAAGGGGTGGCGGGATATCCAGCTTGATCTCTGCGTTTGAACCCTTCCCCTGCACACAAGGAGGTGCTCTTGCAAGGAATTTCCCTAACTTCAGATCTTAAATCTTCCTTGGCCAAAGGCCTTCTGTGTGCCAGCAGAGAACTCAAACCATTCCTACAGTCACGTCCAGGTTAGGGCTTCAAGCTGTAACATGTGCAAAATAAAAACACCCTCAGGAAATTGGGTTGAGGGGAGGCGTTCTCACCTGTCCTCCCTTATCCTTCCAGGATTCCCTTTCCTCCTTATCTCAAAGACCAATGGCCTTGAAACCTGGCAGTCCATCCGCATTCTGGACAGGGAGAAGGCTGATGGGCCAAACAGCGGCCTAGACCCAAACCTTATCCAACAAAAGCAAAAGATGCATTTTGTGACTTACTTGCCAATGGGGCGGCATGTCGTAAACAACTTGCCAGAGTGTGAAGACCTGGGTATCCTCCTAGAAGGGCCTAAAGAAGTGGGTGTTTTGGGTGGGTCTCAGTTTGGGGTGGCCTCATTGATCTTTAAAAACCAGAAGGAACTACACGGTACAGGTGACCAGTGCAGGTTCAGCTCATTTGGGAACAGCTGCTGCTGTCCTGTGTTTCAACAAGGCTTTTCCTGTCTCCCAAGAGCTCTCCACAGGCTGGCAAGGAGCTGGGAATGGCTCTGAATTAAACACTGGGCTGGACGTACCTGCACCTGTTCCCTTAGCATTGGATTTGCAAACCCCTCTCGTGAGCTAAGCCTCTCACGCTGAAACCACTAACTCTGCATTCTTTCTGACCAGAGAAGCTGGGGTAGCATGCACAGGGGAAAGAGGGCCAGGGAGTGAGTCCCCTAACCCTAGGAGTATCTGGAGTTCAAAGCCAGTCTTAGCAAGAGCAAGGCGCTAAGCAACTCTGTGAGACCCTGTCTTTAAATAAAATACAAAATAGGGCTCCCGGGGATGGGCTCAGTGGACGACTGCCCCTGAGTTCAAAACTTGTTAGAATCCCACCCCCCCCAAAAAAAAAAAAACAACACCAAAGCTGTTAATTTAGTCCAAATCTCTATGAAAGGAAAATGAGGTTCTTTCTCAAACTTACTTCAAAAAGGTCAAATTTTCAGCCTATTAATTACCAGTCCCCAGCAGTGCTCTAGAGCAGAGCTCTACATGACTCTGCACTTTTGCTCCAGCCTGGATGTCCCCATACCTGTCCCTTCTTGAGGCCTCACACCTGCCCTGCCACCTGCTGAAAGCTGAAAGCAGGGCACAGCTCTTGGGGACAGTGGGTGAGATCATGGCCAGGAGGCTGTCCTCCCTTCAGCAGCCCGATGCAGACAGATGGGCCCTGGCCACCACATTCTGCTGGGTGCTAAGGGTCAGCTTCTGACTAATCCAGGGAGGCTCAGGAGATGGTGGCTTACGCTGAAGCATGCTCACTTGGGGAACCGAAGGAACTTGTGCCCAGCAAGTTTTGGACAGGCTTTGCAGTTTGCCACCAACATCTTGGGGACAAATAGTGAGGGCAATATTTACCCAGTTTTAACACTTTTCTTTGATGCAGACCAAAGATCAGCTTATCACCTCTGCTAAGAAAATTGCAACTTCTGGACAAAACTTCACCAGACTTATTCTTATCATTGCTAAGAACTGCATAGATCAGAGATGTTCCCAGGAGCTTCGCTGTGCGGCAGAGCAAATTCAAACCATGAGCAGTCAGCTCCGCATCATCTCCAGGTGAGAGGCTGCTTGGCACAAAAGGCTAAGCTCTGCTATTTCAAGACCCAAAGGGGAAAGTGAGATTCCTCTTCTATTTGTTGATTTTTTATTCTCCAAGAGTTTACGTTCCTCCCCCGTCCCTTCCAAACACCATATTGCTGGTACACATCACTTTGGGTAAATCTACAAACACAAACAACTGATCTCTTTATATTATAACCACATCTAAATTTTGACCATTAGTTCTCTATTTGTTTTTATACTAATTTTATTGAATGAAAGACGAGTTAACTTTAACAATACAGTCAATCCATACAGAATGACATTCTGGCCCATGACGGACTGCATGTGCAAAGGCAGTCCCATAAGATTGTCTCCCCCAGTGACATCATGGCCAGCTCAGTTTGTGTAAGTCCCCTCTTATGGCCACACGATGACAAAACCACCCAAACGCATTCTCAGAATATGTCCCTGTCATTCACGATGCTGGCTATTCGTGAATGGCAAGCGAGAAGATCATGGATGTGCATGGACGTCATCCTCCAGGAAGACCATGCCAACCCAGAGCCAGACTGTGCAACTGACCAGCTCCCACTGACTGTCTCCGCACAACAGCTTCCTGTTGATAGTACAGAACGTGGTCAAGACCACAGGATTGTTCCCTTTCCACCCGAGTTCCTTACATTATGGAAAGCTCGGTAGTTAGAGCTACTGTCAATTATTCTGAGGTATAAAAGTAAATATCACCCAAACCAGGTACATAAATTGTTTTTAAATTAGCAAATAAAACCTAGCTACTTTTCTCCAAGAAATAATATCTTAGGTGCACAGTCACCTCAAGATTAGCTGCCAACATTTTTCTACTTAATTTTAGCGTTTCATATATGGGTATTGTTATAAGGGTCTGGGATTTGCCTTGACCAGGTAGACAGAAGGCAAACACACAGGTGAAGAAGGCAGTTTTGTGCTCACAGAGCCAGAGGCAGGAGGCACAGCATGCCACCCAGGGCCGCACAAGGAAGCACCAGGGTCAGACCCCGGTAGAGGAGCGAGGGGAGCCATCGGCAAGGTGCCGTGGTGTTCACAGGAAGCACAGGCCAGGCAGCACAAGCAGGCTGGCACGTCCAGGGCTGGTGAGTTTGAAGGATTTCAGGGGCTCTGAGTATGGGAGTTGGCCTTGGAATGATGAGGGCAATTCGGTGTGGCCTGGAGTAGAGAAGCAGGTAAAGGAAGAGGTGGGGGTGAGGGCTCTGGGAGGGTGGGTTCACACATGGAAGGTGTGTCTGCAGGTGACTCATTACCGTCTGGAAATTGGCTAACTCTCGGGGGGCAGTCCTTCTGATACTCAGGCGTCAGTGCATCAGCAAACATGCTTAGCATGCAGAGGGCCTGGGTTCAACCTCCAGTGCCAACCCCATCCATCGCAGGGGACTGAATTAAGGTCGCTCGTGTGAATATGGGGTGACACAAAATAAAACACAGACATGACTTACCTTTACCCAAGCTTCAGGACTTTCCCCCACTCTCCTTTCCCCCAGAAGGGAGAGCAAGAGAAAGTCATGAGAGGCTGATGAGAGAGAGAGAGAGAGAGAGAGAGAGAGAAACACATTTGGAAGTGACCTTTTTTATTTGGGAGGACACTGTTCTTAGGGAGTTCTATCCATAAAAGGGCAGAAGGGATAGGATTACAAGGGAGAGGTGAGTGTAACTCCAGCCAAGCGGGTGCACCTACACCTGAAGCCACGCCTTGCTATCCCTGCTTCTGGACTGGAAGGCGTGGTCATTCGGAGTGGCTCCCCACACCCCAGCACATGGGAAAAGGGAAAGAAAGAGGGAGGAGGGAAGGAAGAAGGCAGAACCACATGAGTACTCGAGGTGCATTTATCAAGCTCTCCGCCTTCTAACGGACCCGGAGGTCTTGCAGTTTTGCCAAAGTGAGTTACTTAAGTTCCACAGCATTTTTATTTTCAGTGGTAGAAAATGACCTGACTAAATTCAGTTATATTCAGTTTAAAACAAATACTATTGAAATGTCAATTTACTTAGTCTGACCTTCCATCACAAGTTTAAATCTAAGACTTGAATATAATTCTATACAAAATTTCTTATTCCCTTTCATTATCTGAGGTAGTTGCATTGGTTGTGTTACATCAGCTCAGTTATTTTCATTAAAAATATACTTCTTGTTAATTTATAGATTCTATGAGAGTCACACTTTTTTAGCATTAAAATAAAAATGTCAGTTTAAAATGTGAAATTAGCCTTTAGAGCATTCTTCCTTCAAATAGGCCCCCCAGGGCACCCCGGTTTTCTGGAAGAGGCTCATGTTGTAAAACCTTCTGGCATTTATTATTTAGTTGAAATTGCCATCCTGCCCAGTGTAAGACTGGCTTTTCTTCTGTACACTCCCAAGTGTAAAGGCCTCCTTGGCAAGAAGCAGGTCCTCTGAGGAGCTGCTGGTGGACAATGCCCAGTGGCTCCTCCAGGCTGTCTTCAAGACCGTGAAGGCTGCAGAAGCTGCAAGTCTCAGGGTAAGTGGCCATGGGGACGTGGTAAATGGCAACATTTGCAAGGATACTCTCTTCTGCTTAACAAACTCAACTTTGTTCCTTCCCCAGACCTGTCACCTGACTTCCTGTTTCTGTTTGGCTAATTTCTATCAGCTGACCTTCCCCTCGCACTGATTACTTCTTCAGCTGTATCTAGTCTGTGACTGAGCCTGTCAAAGCCTTCTCCATGTCTGTTACCATATTTTCTCTTACTTCTAGCATTCCCATTTATTGTTTTTAATAGTTGTTAATCTCTGCTGCGATTCCCAATTTGTCCACGCATTTTTGCCTGCTTTTCCCACTAAAGCATGAATATATTAATCATAATTATTTTAATTTCCTGTCTGACAATTTCAATAAGTGGCTCATGTCAGAGTCTGGGCTTTTTAAAAATGATTATTGAAAGGAAAGTGACCACAACACTCAGAGCAACCAAGAGATCTTTATTGCAGCAGTGCAACAGAGACGAAAAGAGAGAAAGAGAAGGCGAGAGAGAGCAAGAGAGAAGGGTGCGGTAGGAGGGAGATTTTATAGCCCAAATCTAATAGGGTCCCTGGGTTTGCAAGCTGCCTTGTTGGAACACAAGGGGGTTAAGTGTTCAGCCCTGAGCGGGGGCTTGGGCATTTGGGCTTGAAGCAAACAGGTGATAAAGAACCAGACAGAGGGTTTGAGAAGCCAGGTCATCCTGCAGCTAACTTTGTTTGGCATGCCCTGCAGACAACTTATTCAGCCTGTCCTGCACCTAACAATTTTTATTTTTCTTGACAGTGTTTTTGTTTTGTTTTGTTTTTCATTTTCTCTTTTTTTGCATGTCTCATAATTTTCCATTGAAAACTTGACGTTGTGTGGTAGACCATCTGTCCCGGGCCTTGGTGTCCTGGGGAGTGGACAGTCTGGAGCCGACCTGAGCTGGGTTTTGTGGGTGGAGTTGCTGTAGACACAGAGGTGTCCAACTTGCTGGTGTCATCTTAGCCTTAGTTCACCCTTCTTCCCTCAGTGGCTTGAGGCCCCGTCCCCTACGGAACATGGATCTGGGCGGGGATTGTTGCCTTTATGGCAGTAGTGGCTGCACTGAGGAAGGTGTTCCCAGCACCTGCCCTGACCCGAGTCTTTCTCCTGAGTACCCGGTAAGGTCCAAGACCAATGGCTACCAGTAGATGAGGACTTCCTGTGTTGTGGCTCCCATGGATTCTACATTTGTCCATGGGTGATTTCTCAAAATTTCAACTGAAATCTTATCGATTCACATGGCAGCCCCACGCTGCTCCCATCCTATCATGCTGTGCCTGACATACACCAGTGCTTACGCTGTCTCTCCTTGGAGTTGCCTGTTTTTTTGAGGCGAGGGGAGTACTCAGTGTTGAGCCCAGGGGCACTGAGCTACATGCCCAGTCCTTTTTCCCCCCCAATTTATATTTATTCTGAGATATAGTCTCACTAAGTTATTGAGGCTGGCCTCAAACTTGCAATCCTCCTGCCTCAGCCTCCAGAGTCACTAGGATCACAGGCATGCAGTGCCACACCTGGTGAGGTGTCTGTCCTTTATTAGATCTCATACTAGAGGAGCTTCAAACTCAGTTCTCTAATGGGTTCAAGAAAAGTTATGATTTTGCATATTGACTTTTCTTAGAGTGGGAGCAACCATCTTTCCAGCTCTCCATATTCTAAGTGGAAGCTGAAGAGGGACAGTATTTGCATGTTTAAAAGAACACCTTCCTTAGGGCCATTATGTGAGCTGCTCGCCCTGTGTGAGACCCATCTGCCCTCCACTTCCACTGCTTCTTGTCCTTTAGACCTGAACTCGAGTCCTGCCATCTCAAAAGGGACAGAACACCTTCTGCATAGGTGTTCTTTAACTCGCGATGGAGTTGCACACCTATAAACCCCTTTTAAATTGAAAATATCACTAAATGGAAATGTGTTTCATATACTTGACCTACCAGACCTCTCCTCCGTTGCTTAGCAGTACCACACGCTATGCTTGGTTGTGCACCCTGGCAATCTCATGGCCAAACCCAATTCTGCCACTTCCCTGCACCTGGAGAGAGAATGACACCACAGAATGCCAGCCCGAGAAAAGAGCAAAATTCAAAAGTCGAGAAGGTTCTGTTGAATGCAGATTGCTATGGCACCTTCGTAAAGTTGAAATATTTTGAGTCAAACCATCATCATTCAGGGACCATCTGGCTCTCATCTCAACCAGACCCAGTTTCCTCTGTTTTAGCATCTTCTATGATTCCTTCATTACTCTCATCACAGTTTGCAATTTTCTTTCTTCTATTTATTTCTCTGTCCATTTTATTAGAAAGTAAACTCCAACAAGCCACAGATTTTTAGCATGAAAGTGCTAAAAAAATCCAAGGAGAATTTTCATTTTGTAGTTTAAGAAACTTTGTACCAGTTAAGTTCAAAGAGTGCACAGACTAGGGGCTGGGGATATAGCTCAGTTGGCAAAGTGCTTGCCTCACATGCACAAGTCCCTGGGTTCAATCCCCAGCACCAAAAAAAAAAAAAAAAAAAAGTGCACAGACTAGACATGACCTATGAAGAGCACTTGAAAACATGCATCCTTCAGGTCCACACCCCAGAGTCCCTTGAATAGAAGGAAAGCTGAGACAAAAGCTCAGACTTGCCCCATGAAGCTGTTTTGGTGCCCAAGAGACCTGGCTGAAGCCCCCAGCCTTCTACTGACCCTGCAGCAATCACTGGAGGCAAGAACGCCCCTCCCTATCTCCAGACCCTTTGAGAGCAAGTGAACCCCAGAGCCAGGTGAGTGCTTCTGGCTCCACGTAGACCTAAAGACCCGTGGACATTTTGTATAACGCACGATCCTAAGGGAGGCAGAATCTGGAGTGGAGAGAGTATTGTTAAGAACTCTATACATTCTCAGAACATTCCCCTGTGACAAACAGACATCCCCAGTCCTCAGGCTGTGTAGGCTCAGTTCAGAGAGCCCCGCTCCAACATTGCTCCTTGATCTCCACCAAATTAGGGGTAGAGAGTCAGAATAGCAGCACCAGCCCCACTTGGAGGAACCCCTCAGAGAGAGCTCCAGGGAGCTGACACTGGGACCCTGCACTGTGTCCTCCAGCACCACACTTAGTTCTCTCTCTCTCTACTCCAGGGCTTGAGACAGCCTTTCCTGGATCTGGAAGAACGGGAAGTTGCTGCCTTCTGTATACAGCAGAGGAAGGAAATACTAAGTCACAGACCTCAAGAAACCGCAAACATAGACTGTGAAGAGCTGAGTCTGCAAAAGGCAGGCACCAAAGTCCCCCCACTTGCAGCCTTGGTTCAAGAAGCCTTATAAAAAGCTACGACATTGTCTCCAAGGCAGACTTGGTTGCCCTGCACTTTCCAGACCCTGGGGTCCTCCAGGGAGTGCCCTTTAGGCTGAATCAGAGTGACACCGAGTGTAGGGTGGCCAGGGCCTGTGCCTTCACAGAGCTGCCTTGACAACATTCCGGGTGCTGCAGATGCCTCTGGCCCTGATGACTGCTTTCCTCCTGGAAGGATGCTTCCGTTTCTGGGCTTAGAAGGAATGTGTCAAGTAAACCGTGGAGAGGGGAGAACGTTCCAAGCACCGTCAGCTTGAGCCTTTCTGAAGATATTGCAATGTGAGAACAGTCCCAGAAGATTCTGCAGGGAGCCAGGAACTGTCACCTTGGGGAGGTCAGAGTTCATCTTGCTCAGATATGTAGGAACTGTTCAAATTCCGAAGAGGTGGAAAGAGGTCGTGCTGATTAAGGGGTGGGATGCTTCACCAGAAGCTGGAGCCGCCAGACTGTTAGCTGGTGAGTCTGGGATGGAGAGGAGCTAATCCTGGCCAGGGTTGGTAGGAATATTTCAGTTCATGGCATCTTGCACAGAAACTATAAGGAAATGGGGGTTGAGCAGACTGGCAACTGTCCCCTCAGAGGCTGAACCACCAGGGCCAGGAACAGAGGGCTGAATCTAAGCCCAGGGACAGGAAGGAGGGAGCAGAGATCTTGCTTGCTTGAGGGGAACCAGGTAAGCCTCCTGGATGGGGCAGTTATCGAGAAATTTAATTATCCTGGTCAACATTAGATGATTGAGTTTGCCATCATCCAGTGGAAGAGCAGTTTGAATTTATAGTAAAGACAAGAATTTTTTCACATTTTTATAACAAGTTGGCAGTGGAAACTCATTGTGGTGTTAATTTGCTTTTTCCTAATTAATGGTGTTGCACTTCGCATATTTATTTTCTTTGACAAAGTATCTTTTAAAATCTATTGCCTCCATTCCTTTTTTCCCCCTTGTTGAATTTTGCGAAGTTTCTTTGACAGATTATGTAATTGCAAATGTTTTCTTCCAGTCCATAGCTTTTTCATTCATTTAAAATGCTTTTAATTTTCTCACTGGATCCCTGTTTTCTGTTTCATCAAACCCTTCTCTTGCCTTTAATGTTTTCTTTCTTCTGATAATTTCAACTTTATTTCGGTATATTTTTTTCACATTTCTGAATGTGGAATTTGAGGTCATTATTTTGTGACATTCTTTTCAATATAGCTTTTTATTCTCTACATTTTTGAGTACTGACTTAGCTAATCCTAAATTTTGACTTTTATTTTTGTCTTTCTCTTTATACATTTAAATTTCCCTTTGATTTTTTTCTTTCACTCATTGATTTTTTTGTAACTGCTTATTTAGTTTTAAAAGTATTTGGAAAACTTCCAGACCTTTTTCTTTTATTTCTAATTTAGTTATTTTGTGATTAGAAAACATTCTTTGTATGACTTGAACCCTTTTAAATGTTTAAAGCCTTGTTCTTGGGCCAGGGTTATGTTCTGTCTTGGAAAATGTTCCAATCCACTAGGAAACGATGTGGGTTTTGCTGTTGTTAGGTAGGGTGTCCAACAGACAGTAGTAGTCTGGGGCTGCCTGACGCTGTGGCTCAGGTCTTCTATGTCCTTCCTCATTTCCATTCTACTGTTTTTATCAGTTATAATGGAGAGTGGGATATTGCATCTGTAACCACATGTGAATTTGCCTATTGAGTTTTACCTAATGCATTTTGTGTCTTTATTATTAGGTGCAAAAACACTTAGGTCCTCTTGATGAATTTACTCCTTTATGAAATTATTTTTATTTTTATTCCTGGTAATATTATTTTCTCTGAACTCTACCTTGTCCAATATTTATGCCATGTAAACATCAATCTTTTTTTGATTGATGTTTACATGGCATATCATTTCCATTCAATTGTGCTTCTCAAATTTGTACCTTTAGGGTTGGGGTTGTGGCTTAGAGGTGGAGCGCTTGCCTTGCTTGCTGTAAGGCACTGGGTTCAATCCTCAGCACCACATAAAAACAAATGAAATAAAGATACTGTGTCCATCTACAACTAATAAAAATCATTTTAAAAAATTTGTACTTTTATAAAGTGGATTTCTTATAGGGAGCATATAGTTGGCTCTTGCTTTTTTAACAAAATCTGATGATCTCTGCCTTTACATAAAGGTTCTTTATATTTAGACTGTTTATGTTTAGTATGATTACCAATACCATTGAGTTTAAATCTATCATCTTTCAATTTGATTCACCTTTCTATTTGTTTCTTACTTTTCCCTTCCCTTTTCTTTATATTTTCTGCCGCATATTGTATTGATTTTTAACAGCTTTATTAATTCACATATCATATAATTCACACATTTAACTTGTCTAACTCAATAGCTTTTTAATATATGCAAGCATTGCCACAGTCAATTTTGTAATATTGTCAACACCCCCAAAAGAAACACCATACTTCTTAATTGTAATTTCACCCTCCTCCTCCTCCCTCTTCTCCTCCTCCTCCCAGGTTAAGCAACTACTACTTACTTTCTGTATATATTTTTTTATGGATTTACCTAAACATTACATATAAGTAGAATTATACAACATGCAATTCTCTGTGACTGGCTTATTAGCATAATTTTAAAAGTTCATTTGTAATGTAGCATGTATTAGTACTTCATTCCTTTTTATTGCCAAATGGTGCCATTGTACAGATAGACTACATTTTAGTCATTCATCAGTTTATGGACATTGGGTTTTTTTTTCCCCCAATTTGGGAGTGATTCTGAATAAGAATGCTATGAACATTTACTTGAACTGTCAAATTTATTGACAAAACATTGTTTATAGTATTTATGTATTATTATTTTGTTATCTATAGAAGATGCAGTAATACCACATCTCCCACTTTTTATATAGCTAATTTGAGTCTTTTCTGTCATTCTCTTTTTCCTGATCACTGTGCCTAGTGATTCATCAATTTTGTTGAACTTCTTGAATAACCATATTTTAATTTCACTGTCTTCTGAACTGTTTTTCTCTTTTCCATTTACCTGATCCCCTTTATTTTTCTGCATTTTCTAGTTGTTTAAGACAGGAGGATAAATCCAGTCCCTAACACTTGTGTTAACTGTTCATTGCTTTAGGTACAGGTGCAGTTGTTACAGAACCAAGAATGAATAGAACTGGGATACCAGGAAAGCAAATTCTCAAGGAAGAAGGAGACAACTCAAGATTTAAAAGTGGGTGGTAGGGCAGTCTCTTTCTGAAATAAAAACAAGAAAGGTAAAAACTGCTATTAACAAAAAAGTAAGGTTAAGTCTGAAGATCAGAGAAAAGGGATGGCAAGGAGTCTTAGAAACAAAGAGGCAGGTGGGAAGTCTTCCTCCCTCTCTTCCTGACTGTCCTAAGGGTCAGATAAAGTGAGACTCAGGAAGCTGGTATGTTGGGGAGACCAGAGCCCAGACATGAGTACCTGGGGTAGTTTGCTCTGTGAGCATTTCCTGCGATGAGACTCTATTTTGATCCCAAATTCCTGATCTAAGCAGTTTATCTTCTAGCAACATTTCAGATTCGAATCTTTTAATAAAAATTTAAACACATGTTAAGAGATGCTTCCTGGAATGAAGCACATTCAATGTTGTCAACCAGCACAGTCAGGTGCAGCATAGTCTCCCTGTACCATAGATAAACTCCAGGGCAGCTTAGTGCCAGGGCCTTCTGGGAAGTTCTGGGGTGCATTCCAGGCACACCTCTTAAACGTGCACATGGCTCCCCTCTATTCTGTCTCTAAATGCTGAAGATTTATTAAAGCAAAGCAACACACTGCCAAACAGATATTATTAGAAACATTTTAATTTAAATTCAGACAATAGAAAGGTATCACAGAAAAAACATTACAGAAACTTGCAACAGCAGAATGCGTCTTGGAAATTTATCAGCAAATGAAAAGAAGAAAAGGTAATCCTGATCTTACCAAGCAATTTGTCAGTCCTTAATAGGATAATGATGAATTCAGCAAACAAAAAAACAAAAAACCCTTGCTGGTGTTTTTTGAACAGAAAGTAGATTAATAATTCAATCTACCAAACTGGTATGTACAAAAACCTTCTGAAGTGACATGGTCTAGCGGCATTTCCCAACATTTGAGATATAACTTGGGGAATTAAAATAATAACAAAAGACCTTATACCAAATAGGTATAACCTGGATCTCAACCCATAGACACTGTTTGTGATTTGATAGGAAATGGGTGATCCTGTCTGGCCACCTCCCCACCCCCAACACACACACTCCATCCTGGGGCCACCAGTGTCCCTATAGGCCCTCACCTGAAATAAAATGCCCAGGTCCTGTAGCTTGGGGTGGAGGCTGAGCCCTTTCTGAATTGAGGTGGATGGGGCAGCAGGTTTAGCATAGGGATGTAAAAATTTTTTAAACTTTGGCAATTTAAATGTACAAATTGATTGTCACTTTTATAAGGAGGTATCATCCTGCCTCTTGAAAAAATATTCTTATTTGAGTTCCCTCTAAAGCATCTGGAGGGCAAACTCCTATAAAAGAGAGGTAGACTAAAACCTCTTACCTGTAATAATGGTCAATTTACCATTTTTCACCTTCCCCTATTTAAAAAGCATATAAAATGTCAATCTATCATTGACAAATAAGTTGAAGATATTGCTGGTAATGGAGGTTTGGAAACAACTTTGTTAATTTATTTAAAAAATTGGGCTTCTATATATTTACTTCCTTTACAGTATGTTATAAATCAGACCTCTGAGAAAGTACCAGAAAATGCAAACTCCAGTACTTCCAACTTTAATACCCTTATGAAAGTACTAAAATCAGTAACAAAGGGCTGGAGGTGTGTGGCTCAGTGGGAGAGCGCTTGCACCTGCCTAGCATGTGCAAAGCCTTGAGTTCCACCCCCAGCAACACACACACACACACACACACACACACAGTGTTTATAAAATCTGTAATGAGCCAAGAAGTGAGGGGACTGATGACTTGCAGAGCTGATTTTTTCTAAAACGTGGTAAGTAGCTATATATTCACTTTTTTATTACAAACTTTAAGTTTAAAAAATAAACAATTCTTAAAAAATAAACAATTCAAGAGTAAATAATGCCATAAAATACTATCCTAAAAACTCAAGAACTCACAATCTTCTTTAAAAGAACCAGATTTTCTTTTTGCCTACAATGATGTTGCTAACTGTAGCACATTATTATTCTATTTCAAAGATGTTTTAAAAACAGATATAAAGGCTTAGAAATTAAGAGTTAACGAATAACTGAAAGAGTTCATGATGTTGGTATAAAAGGAATTTTAATAGCTTTTGATAATTCACTAGTTTAGGCTTATCTTCATAATTTTAGTTGACATTTTAAGGGGAGTAGAAAGGAGGAAATTAGAGAAGAATTTTAAAATAAAAATATGCTGGGTGCCTTGGTACACACTTGTAATCCCAAAGAGTTGGGAAGCTGAAGCAGGAGGATGGCAAGTTTGAGACTCTGCAATTTAGTGAGACTGTGGCTCAAAATAAAAAATAAAAAGGGCTGGGGACATATCTCAGTGATAGAGTACCCCTGGGTTCAATACCCAATATCCCACTCCCCCCAAAAAAGATAGAGGTGAAGAGACTCCAGTTATGCAGTTCCTTGTCTGGTTATAGAAAGAGTTTTTCATAGATGTATACGTATAAATTATTCATCTATCCAAAACTCTGTGGAGTAAAAGAAACTACCTTGTAAGTCAGGAGGAATCTTAGCACTATGATCATAGAAATACTTAACTCCCAATAAAATTGTCATAAACCTGCCTTGGCATTGCTTAGGATGAGAACAGGGATGAACCAAGGAGGCAGTGCATTCTGGGTCTACTGAGAGGTCTAGTTGACGAGTTGCGCCCTTTTAATACAATCATGGACTGTCCTGCCACAAAGCCTTCAACTAGCAATTAGCAAAGCATCCAGTGTGTGCCCAGAACTAATTTGTTGCTATGAAGACAAATTTTTTCTTCTAAAAGCTTAGTATAGGGTTGAAAATACACATATTGTTTCTTAAACATTAAAAATTCTAAGTACTATGTTGATATTAACCTAGTCTTTTCTTAGGTCTGTATCCTTTCCAAGAAAAGCAGGTTAATTTGGGCTTGTTACAGTTACAGATAAACAACATACTCAAACAGAGAACCCCAGCAACAGAGTGACTGGCAGCTACTAAAGTTGGTTCAGCCAATCACATTAAACTGCTTGGGGTGAGGCACTAAATAAATGCTATATTCTAACACGTAAGAGAAGAAATCAGCTTAGAACACCTAGACCCTGTTTCGTTACATTTTGTTAAAGTTTACATTTCTTACACTAAGTCTTATTTTAAAAGATTATAGTTCTGTAATGCTTATATATTCTACTTGACTTAATTTCTAACATATAAAGTACTGCCACATCATTGTTAGTAACACGATTACTCTTCATGTAATATGAGATTCACAGAAAGCCTGAATACTGCAGGCTGCAGGGCCCAACAGTGGACTGCTTGATTGCAGGAATGCCCTCTGAGGCAAGCCTGACGCAGGGAAAACCTCTCTACTCCACCGTGACATTCTGTGTTACACACTGGGGAAGGTTCTGACAGCTTCTCCAAGAACTCTCAACCACATGTCTAGGAGCTTTCTAACTTCTAGTCACCATTAAGCAGAAGAAAAGAGAGTTACCATTATCAAGCAAGTGGTCACTCAGGCATGTGGTATCACATGCCTGCAGAAATACATACTAAAGGGTCAGAGATAATGTACCTTGTTTCTAAGAACAAATGGCTTTCACACCGAATGAGCTGGCCATTTTGTCCACATTCATTATGACTTAAGCAAACAGCTATACAATATGGACTGTCACAGCGTTTTAACCCTCCATCAACATCCAGCCTAAATAAAATGGAAAGGAATGTCAGATCTTGAACAGACTGCAAGTCTATACAGCGCCACAGTGGGAAGTCCCGTGTCTGTCTGATACACCAGTATTCAAGGAAACAGCTCACTGTCTGGGTTAATATTCCAAAAGAGCTTCTCAGGCAACTCTGTTGTAGAAGCTGCAGTGTACATCACCTCAAACTTCATAAAATTGGTAAGCCACACAAATCCCATCATGCTATTTTGGAATCTGTACAACTTAATACTACCTGAATTGGGAGCAAAACAATTATATTTGGTGACAGTCACAAAGCGATTTTATATTTACAAATACTTTACAAAAATAATTAACTCCCTCCCCCTTCATCAGACCTTTGATAAGTCAAAATTATCCTAATTTCACAGATAAGGAAGGAAACCTTGAGATAAACTGCATAGAAATAAATTCAGAACAAGAATATGAATTCATTGTCCTTAACTCCCAGCCCTTGAGAGTCCTCTCCCTGCTCCCTCTCCTTCTCTCTACTTAATTCAGCCCACACAAGATTTCTTTACTAATCAATTATTCTTTTGCCCTTGAAATACGTATGACTAGCAAACAAAACTACAGTTGAGAGTCTGTGACAAGTGAAGAGACAAATGGAACCTCCACACATCTCGTTCCACTGTCACTAACACTAGGGCTTTGCACTCAGCAGAAGCACAGCACATCCACTCAGAAACAGACCCACGGCAGAGGCATGTGGAACCTCTCATTTCCTAAGTTCAGAACTGAGATATGAGAAAGTAGTTGCTAAATCTAAGTTATAATAATCTTTTGGTGTCCCAGTCCCACACCTTGGCATATCCCACTTGATTTAATATTAAATTAACAGGTTCCACAATTTCTGTGAAAACCAGTACCAACAGTCAAGTGGCACCCCAATTGAGCTGCCTCTCTAGAAACCTCAGACACAGGGACGCTTGTGATTCTAAATGTGTGGCTTCTAAGAACACAGTTTACTTTTAGTGTGTCTGTGTAAATCAAATTCCGTGGGTTCTAAGACACCAGTCCACCTTAAAGAGCTTGTTCACTGGGAAACTGCTACTTCTTAAATTTTTTTTGTGAGGCAATAGGAAAAGAAAGAACTTAAAAGAATCTGTTGACAGAATCTGACAGCTACCCCTAAGCTAATGCTATCTCAATAAAAACTGTATGATAAGAACAATCATTATTTTAAATGCAAATAAAACACTTTCACATGAATGCACTGCTAGATTTGAAACTAAGTCCAACTCTCTCTGCAAAATTGCCTCCAAGTGAAGATTCAAGAATACTGAATAAATGAACATTACACAATTTGCACTAATGACTTTTAAACCTTACTTTTAATTTATTTTTAAATATCTCTTTCAGTAGTAAAAGATTTTCTGAGCAGGGCATAGTAACACATACCTGTAATCCCAGCTGCTTGGGAGACTGAGGCAAGAGGATCACAAGTTTGAGGACAATATCAGCCATTCTGTGAAACCCTGTCTCGAAATAAAATTCAGAGCTAGGGCTATAGCTCAGTGGTACAGCTCTTGCCTAGGATGTGCAAGGTCCTGGGATTTTCAATCCTTAGAACAGATAAATAAATAAATATATAACTAAAAAAGTAAATGGAAACTGTTAAAACTTTGGATCCTATTTTGATCTTTTATAGTCGGATTATCTTTTTTTGTATAGAATTTAAAATGTAAACATCATTACTTAACACAATGATAAAATACATGAACTAAACATTTGCCCTGATAAGAGAGTAAATTATACTACTCTGGATTATTTTTAATCAGTTTTATCTACTTTTTTCAATTAACAATGATATTTGTTTGGACAATAAATCAGAAAATACTTTCTATGGTGGCTTTCAACCACACTTTTTAGACCTAAAATGTTATCCAGGGCCATTTTAAGCAACAAATGCTACCAAAGTATGAACAGCAAGAATTCCCATTTTCACAAGTAACTGTCCTTCCACTGAGAACACAGTGACCCCCTCAGGTGGCAGAGTTCTTGTCCATGTAACTATAACACCATCATACCAGAACTCAAAGTATGAAAAAGAAAGACATGATCAGAAAGGCTATGCATTATAATCCAACCATATGCTATCTGGGTGTCAGATTTCACAGAGATATTCCGCTGTGTGTTTTCAAAATCACTTCTCAAGGGTAGATGTTTTCATCCAAGGACCAATTTTATTATCTACTTCCATTATCCTTTATAATGAAATACTCATTTTCAAGTTGCTTACTGGAGATGTTACCAGCAAACATTGCCATATGCCTGCAGTTCAAGATATGAACATCAGCATGATACTTTATGTTATAAATTATAAATGAATGAAACAAATAGAGTTGCATTATTTTACATACTGCAATAAATACATGGGAATGAATACAAGTTATTTTTCACGAAATACAATTGCTGATCAATTTAGATTTCAAAACCATGAGGTTTCTAAAACACTAGGTAATTCCCTCTGTTACATAACACCAGTCAGGTGAGATCTGAAAGAGATTCTTTATTGGTGGCCATACACAGTTGACGATTCCTGCAATCTCTGTGTTCTCATGCTCAGGAAAAAATATAGAACCTAGACATTTAAAATATTGTCAATGTAATAATCACTATAGACTCACTGGATCTGTTAAAGTTTTGTTAAAAATCTTCAAAGTCATGATGAACCCAGTTATTGCAGCAACTTCATTTGAAAAAATAATATAAATTATGCCACTAAAGACAAAAACATTGAAATACATCATCACAATGTAACACAAAAGTAACTCATGATCATTGAATATGAAAAATTAAATTTAAAAAGTTATGTAGGAGAGTTGGAAATTTTCCACTTCACCAAAACATTCTATTTATGTACCTCCAACTTCTATTATACAGTATACAATAAAAGACTTTTAAAATATGACATTTAAATGTTTCATTTACACAAATAATATTGCCAATACTAACAAAAGTGATGCCCTTGAACATGAACTGCTCTGCTAATTATGATTTTTACGTTTTCTTTACTTCATTTTACATATTAATTAGCATACTAATCAATTCTGTGCTGACAAATAGAGAAGGTCCTAGTCAAAATACTGTTTCTCAAAAGTAATGTATATCATATTGCTTAAAACTAAACAACCATATAAAAGTGGTAATCGTCGATCTAAACATTGATTACGAAAGACAACTGGCATATATTCAGGCAGAGTGTTGAGTTCATGATGGTTTATTTACAATAAAAGTACTTTTATTGACGCTAACATGATATATAAGTTTCTATGTCAATTACTACGGTCTCTTAAAGTTATAAAAATATCATATAAAATACCACAGGCTTTAGAGGATATAACTTCATGTGGTTCTGATACTAGCAGCTGAAAAGTGTTTATAATTTAAAAATAAATAAACTATAGAGGTAAACCAGTTACAAAACAGCAGAGGATTGCGACAGTCACAGAGTGAAAGAGCTGCTGAATTACACAATAGCTAACAAAATGGTGAGGCTGTCGGATCAAAAGTTTTAAAAACCTCCTTTAGAGATCTGTCATCTGTTTCCCTACTGGGCTCACTGTCTGGAGTCGGGCTGCCCTGGCCTGGTTGCCTCACCTGCCTTGGATCGCTGTACGGGGGTCTAATCAAGCCCGCCAAGGCCTGAATAGGAAGACTATGCACTGCTGGGACCTGAACCTTCCCAGAGCTCCTGAGAACATCTGCTTGTGTGTCAGCTGGCCCAGTGACAGTGACTTCCACATTTGGAGTGGTTTTCGGTGCCAGGATTGCTTCTCCAGGAGGCTCTATTTTGTCATTATTTTTTAAACCACCACTTTTTTTTGGGTTCTCTGCATTTTCTCCTAAAGAAGCTGTGGCTAGCTCTGATGTAGGTGATGAACCCTGCTCCCTGGGGTCGTATAAACTAATACCACTGAGGACAGAACTTGGAGTTCCCAGTGGAAGGCCTGTTGAAGAGGAGAGCTTAGGGGCATATGGATGCAGAGCCCCAGGACTAGGGCTGCTAGTGACTGCCCCTGAGGGCTGTGATGAACCAGGGCTTGATCTAACTAACTGAGGGGCATTCTTTGATGTATGTGATGCCTTCATACCTACTTGATTAGACTCTGTATTGGGCAGTCTGTGAAGTCTGGGATCGAAATTTTTTTGCAGCCTAGGATCTCCTAATTTACTTCCTGAACTGTGCAAGTCTCCAAATTGTTCTAAGTAGCCTTCTCTATTTGTTGGATTACTTTTGGCTTTGGTTGCTAATTTTGGATCCATGGACAGTGGGTTTTGCTGAAGATCACCTTTTGTGTTCCATAGCCTATGGAGCCTCTGGTCAGCTATAAGAGGGGGAAGAGGTAAGTTGATTGAAGACACTGGATCAGGCTTAGGTAAAGGTACTGGAAGCAAGTCTTCTGGAGCCCACACGATGTGCTTTGCGAAGTTGGGTTTGGTTAGGATAATGTCCATTTTGATGTGACTGAACTGTCTCAATTGTGACCTTGGATCCTGCAATATTACACCAGGTGAAGAATCCAAAGGTATTAAGAAAGCTTTTTCTCTCAATTCTCTTTCTGTATCTTCTTCATCGTCATCTCCTCGTTTTTGTTTGATATTAGCACCAGCATTTGCATGATGTAAATCAAACTTGGCTCCACCAACAGAAGAGCCTGTGTGACCACTTCCGTTCCCTCTTAGTTTCCTGGGATCCCATGCAAGTCTAAGATCCACTGGGACAGACTCAGAAGACTTTCTAGCATCTTGTCTTGGGATGTTCCTGAGTCTAGGATCAACCACTTGACTTCCTTTACTTTTCTCTTTAGCAAGTCTCGGGTCAGTAGGAGGGCTGAGTTCTGAGGAAGGTTGTTGCTGGCTCCTTAATGTTTCTGTTTGTTTCTGTAACGTTCTCAGTATTGACTTGACACTGCTTCCTTCTTCCTCTTCACTGCTGGAATACCAGTTACCTGTATCATCTAAATGTAGACAAAAAATTATTGTAAAGAATGAAGCATTCAATTGGCCTTAAAATAAATAAATACATACTGATTCTGAAACAAGTGTAGTCTAACTTCAAGAAAATCCACGATAGGGGCTGGGGTTATGGCTCAGTGCAAGGCCCTAGTTTCAATCCTCAGCACCACATAAAAATGAATGAATAAATAAATAAATAAATGGTATTGTGTCCAACTACAACAACAAAAAAATAAATATTAAAAAAAGAAAAAGAAAATCCATGATAGAAATGCCAGGTTTCGGGCTGGGGATGTGGCTCAAGCGGTAGCACGCTCGCCTGGCATGCGTGCGGCCCGGGTTCGATCCTCAGCACCACATACAAAGATGTTGTGTCTGCCGAGAACTTAAATAAATAAATATTTAAAAAAAAAAAAAGAAATGCCAGGTTTCCATACTGAACAAGATAATGTGGTAAGGAAATTAGCAATCAGGTGTCACACTCTATACAGAAGGAGCTGAGACATTGAAAAAAGTATACCATCCTCCCAGTCAGAGAAAAGTCAGGACCTTTCATTCTAACTGGCCAAAGGAAACTCACAAGTGTGTGGCAGGATTGGGAGGGGGAGGAAAATACTCTGGGAAAGGCTTTCTATAATGTCTTGGGTTTCTTCAAGCAATCCCTGAGCTTCATATCTCTGAATTTAACAATATAACAAGGGACTGGAAATAAAACAAATCACTGATAACGATGGTTAAGGGAGCAATGAAAACTGAGCAAATGAGGGACAGGGTGGAGATTCTATTCATACTTTATTATACTTTCAGATGTTTGATCAAAGCAATATATTAGCTTTTTAAACATTAAATTAAAAACCACAAATAAAACTTACTTCCTAAAACACTGTACACTTTAACTTTATGAAAACACTTTGGTACTATTCTTCAAGCCAATGGAAACAGGGTATGGAAGACGCGGATTTTAGAAGCCTGGCTGTTGGAGGTATGCTTGCTAGCAGAGTAGTAAGGGGTTACAAGCTGATGCTTCAGAGAGTGGTCTTCTTTCCTCTGGAATGAAGGCTTACACAGAATGGTTTTGAACTGGCCACAGAGAATCTACTCTTCACACCCCAGTCAAAACATAGCATATATGCACACATTATCTATAGTTAATACATATATATATATAATATATCTATATGGGGATGAGATAAATCAATCTTAGAACATCTTGGGTCAGTAGACTATCATAGATATTTTCACCTTTACCTAGTATACAAAACTTTATAGTGTTATGGGATTAGTTGAACAGAGAAGCACTTACAAAAAGCAAGCATTGGTATTTAGGATAGGATGTGGTTTAAAAAAATATACATATATACCTATATATATACATATATATGTATATATATAGGTATACACACACACACACACACACACACACACACCACAATGCCAAAAAGTTTTCCTCAGATCTCAGTGTCTGTAAAATCCACTTCTAGACAATAGATTTCTCTTCTCTTCTCTCTAACCTTCAGGAATCCTAGAGTTGGGCTACTGATTCACTTTTACTAGTTGTGGTTATTTTGAATATTTCTATATAGTAACTTCACTCCTCACAATAGTTCTTACTTTTATCCTTATTTTTCATATCAATATATTTCATAAGCATTCTGATGGTCTTTTTTGGAATGAATAAATAGAGTAATACAATGACAGAAGAGTAGAGATTGCCCAACAGAAAACAGATATTAAATAGGAATAGAATTAACAGTTTTTTATCAAAAGAGAAAATTCATAAAAGCATTAAGATTTATAAAAATGAATACAAACACAAACAAATCTAGCTATTCAAAATTCTTTCTTTCTTCTTCTTTTTCTTTTTTTTTTTTTGAGGGGTGGGGCAATGGGTATAGGGGCTTGAACCCATAGGTGCTTAAGCACTGAGCCACATCCCCAACGCTTTTTATTTATTTTTTAAATTTTGAGACAGGGCCTCACTAAGTTGCTGAGGCTGGCCCTGAATTTGTGATCCTCCTGCCTCAGCCCCCTGAGTAACTAGGATTACAGGCCAGCACCACCATGCTCAGTTTAAGATTATTTCTATACGTAGAGCAAACGATCCTCACAGAACATCACCAATTATATAATGTTATAATATATAATTTTATCATCTATAAGCTTTAATTTTCTTGCTTATTAAAACTTAAAAGTCTTTAAGACTTAATAGAAAGATTACCATTAAAATGGTTATTTTTAGGGCTACAGATGTGGCTCAGTGGTAGAGCACTTGCTTGTTGCCTGGCGTGTGTGAGGCCCAGGGTTTGATCCCCCAGAACTAAAAAAAAAAAAAAATTAATTAATTTGTGTTTGTAGGAGGAGGCTATACACATTTTTTAAAAATTGTTATTATTTTAAATTAAGTTTTATCACTTAAAGAAGTAAGCTTAAACTGTATAGGAAATTCACGTATTAGGAATCCCTCATTTCTTGTGATATCAGATACTAGGAGAGCTAATGTTACCTTCTTTAAAAATTTCACAAATAATGTTCATATAATAGCTTGGAGTTATCTAACACTAGCTAGTGTTGCCTAATTTACATGGTTATTCATAAATTTAATGTTTAAGAATGGCCAAACATAAATTTTATAATTCATAAAAAGAACTGGATATTTTAAATTTTCCTCATCCTTACCTAAATAAACTAATTGCTATACACTAAACAATGTAAAAAATACTAAGATAAACTTACTGTTTCCATATAATCTTTTTATATTAAAATATTCTTTCTTTTTTTTTCAATTTGGTTGGTGATGCTGGGGATAGAACCCAGGCCTCATGAATGCTAGGTGAGCACTCCACCACTGAGCCACATCCCCAGCTCAGTGGTGAAGTGCTTACCTAGTATTTCTTAATAATATAGAAGTATACACTCTATGCCCACAAAAATTTCTCTGATAATTGCATTATTTTGAAGTAGAGCTAGAACTCAAAATCCCCAAATGGAGGGCACCCTTTTTTTGTTCTATTTCTTTTCTTCCTGAAAAAAGAAAAAGCTTAATTGTTTGTAAATATGATCACCTAGGCCTTGAATCCAGTTTTAAATGTATTCATGACTTCAAGTCAAACCTTTGAAATTAATTATTATTTTAAGGGAAGGGGCACTGGGGACTGAACCCAGGGCACTTTGCCATTAAATTACATCCTCAGCCCTTTTAACTTTTTGAGACACAATCTTGCTAAGTTGCTTAGGGCCTTGCCAAGTTGCTGAAGGTGGCCTTGAACCTGTGATGCCCTTTGCCTCAGCCTCCAAAGTTGCTGGGATTATAGGTGTGCGTGACTGCAATTAATTAAAGCATTGAAGCATTAACGTCACTGAAACTGCAAGCGGTTCTAAGAAGATGGAGGCTACAAGACAAACTGGAAATATGATAGTTCAGAGGTACTAATTTTCACATTCTAATGTACTCAAATAGGTAAAATGCTATTAAGCTCCTGACACACCTTCTTCCTTGCTTGGTGTCCTGTGAGGGTGGTTGCCAGCTAACTCTTCATCTTCTTGGTATCTCTGAGTAAGTCGGAGGAAAAGAGCTCTCTGCACAGCAGGGAGGAGCCCTGGAGTAGACAGCTGGCCATGGCCTGTCAGGCTGCTGCTGGTGTCATGCCCACTTCCCAGGTTAGGTGAATCCTCAGCAATGGAGGGTTGCTGCTGGGCAAATTCTCCATGCCACATCCCATCTGTAGTCATAACAGGGAAGAGACAGACACTGCATGAACAGACTCCACCTAAGACATTGAAATTCTAATAATCATCACACTGGATTCGCCAGGTATTATGTAACTTTTAAGTATTATTAAAAGTTATCTAAAGTTCTATTATTTCTCCAAAGTTCTACTCTTTGTATTGTTTTGGTGCAATGAGAACATATTTTAAGGTTTTAATTTCAACAGTTTCACTTCGCTTTATTTAAAACATACATTCCTATCAATGTTTTTAACAAAAAATAGAACTTTGAATATTTTAAATTAGAAATGAGTTATTTAACTTACCACCAGAGTTATCAGGAGGCTGAAAATTATGGGCAGCATGCTGTGAATAATAATTGTCATAAAACTCAGCTGGGTTCTGCAGGGACTCATAATTGGTGTTGAGCTGCATTTCCCCAGGAATTTGCTGGTATGATGAGCTTGGAGAGCAGTGGTTCTCTCTGGGCACTTTCACAGCATGTCCCGGGAAGCCTGGCGAGTGGTAAGCACCACTCACACTCGATGGTGTCAAGGGTGTATCTGGTTGACTATGAGGACCTATGATTTCAGGTGGGCTCTGCGGCACTGGTAGACCTGAAGGTCCAACACATGGGTGATGTCCAGGTGAGCCTGGGAGCATCACAGGACTATTGCGACCCTGAGACATGTTAGGTCCAGGACCTGGACTTGACCCAGAACTATAGATATGCTGAGAACATGGGCTGCTTCCCTGAAATTGTGGTCCTGGTGGTGAGGCACTATTATAATATGCTGGTGGTCTGTAGAGAGAAAAAAAAATATGTTTCTTAGTTCAAACAAAAGAGACAAATAAGAATAACCCACTCCTAAATAGATACCAGGTATGATTCCCTATATCCAAATAGAATAACATGTGTTTAAGAAACAACTTGTTCTATATCATCTGTTAAATGGAAACTCTACTTCTGTCTCTTGTTTTCCTTTTAGCTCAGTTTTTTAAATTGTTGCTTACAACTGGCTGTTCTAAAGCCTACTCATTATTACAGATATTTTGGAAAACACAAAAAGTATAAAGATAAATAAGAATCACTTCTAAAATCCCATCATCCAGAGATAAAATTTTTTTTTTTGAGATAAAATTTTTGATCAATTCTGTCCAATCCTTTTTCTAAGTATATGTACACTTTTCTTACAACAAAATTAGAATTGTACTAATATGTACAACTTTTTATTATAATTTCCAATGAGTTATTGCTGGCATATACAAAGACTTCTAGAAGTCTCTGAATGTTGCGTTTCTTTCTGGACATTTTGCTAATTTATTATTTCTTTTTTTTTTTTGGCAACAGAGATTGGATCCAGAGGTGCTTAACTACTGAGCCATATCCCCAACACTTTTTAATATTTTATTTAGAGACAGGGTCTCACTGACTTGCTTAGGGCCTCACTAAGTTGCTGAGGCTGAATGAACTCATAATCCTCCTGCTTCAGCCTCCCGAGGCACTAGTATTACAGGTGTGTGCCACCATGCTCAGTTTTTAATTTACTATTTCTAATAGTTTTGTCAGTGAAATCCTTTGGGCTTATTGAAGGAAACTAACTTTAATGAATCTGCCTCTCCACTTCTAATCATTATACTTTTTAAATCTTTCTATTATTGCCTGGATTTGTTACATAATATTAAACAGTAGACTTGCTTGTCTTCTTAACTTTAATAGAAATAGCTTTAATGGGTTACATTAGTTGTGATGTTTACTAATTCACTGAAACCTCATTGCTTTCCTGTGTATTCAGGGTTAAAAAACTAACCAATAAGGGGACTTATAGCCCTTACAGTGCACAGACACTAAGGGATGGGCAGCAGAGTTGGAATAGTATTGTTAAAAAATAGAATTCTAGATCCAGCTTACTCAGAGGTTTTCCTTTAATAGCCTAAGAAATTACTTTTCAAAAAGAACTAAACATACTGGAGACATATTATCCACTATTTGAAGATATTCTCAATAAAAATGTAGGCTCATAATCTGGCAGGAGGAATGCCAATCTATCCACCTGGCAGTGTCCTTCAAGATTACTATGTTGACAGGTTTCTGAAGTTCTGCAAAGATTCTGTTTTGAGTGTCTGGTGTTTGAGAAACAATTTGTGCTCAAACTATTTGCACAGTGGTAGAGTGCTACCTAGTATTTGTGAGGCCCTGGGTTGCATCCCCAGGGAGCACACACACACACACACACACACACACACACATTCTTAAAGGTGGGGGGGACAAAGAGCAAGGGGAAGCAGCAATCTGAGTGCATGCCAGATATCTGTTATCTCTACCTAATGTTAACTAAACAATTAATTTGAAACGCAACTTAGTATCTTAAAGTAAATATTTAGGGGGAATATTTCTGGCATTTGCAAAGTTTTAACTTACTTCTTCCCAATTTTATGTGCTAAATCCACAGTTGGTTTTACAACTATTTCAAAAAGAGATGGAATTTTTTTGAAATCATCAGAGAGATCTGTCTGAAAATCGTCTTCAGGATCAGAAAAAGGAAAATGCTCTGGTGGAGTTGGCAAAAGCCCAACTCCAGGAGGTGGTTTGGGAAGAGGAGTTATGCCACGCTTTCTAAGTTCTTCTAATTCTCGTTCATCTTCATTTATAAGTTCTTCATCCATATTCAACACCTAAAAATAATTGGTAAAGATTACTATCTCAAAATAAGCTTTCTTTCTCACATTAAAAATTGTGAAGACTTTAGTTAACTAGTTTAGAAATAGAATAATACAATATTAAAGGTGAAATGGGTCAGCTTTAACTAATATAACCCATTAAAGCTATTTCTATTAAAGTTAAGAAGACAATATTATTTTCAATAAATGAAATGAGGTAGCCAGGTGCAGTAGTGCATGCCTGAAATCTCACTGACTCAAGGAAGCTAAGGTCAGAGAATTCCAAGTTTGAGGCCAGTCTCCAAATTTAGCAAGGCTCTGAGCAATTTAGCAAGAACTGCCTCAAAATGAAAAAACTAAGAGGACTCTTAGTAAAGTGCCCCTGGGTTTAATCCCTAGCACCACTCCCTTTCCCCCACTGAAAACAAAACAGAACAACAGAATGAGGTTCAAAGAGGTAAGCGATGCTGCTCAAAGTAAATAAGTTTGTTTTTTTGTTTGTTTGTTTCATTTGTGGTACTAGGGATTGAATCCAGGGCCTTGTGCATGAGAAGCAAGCACTCTATGTACTGAGCTATATCCCTAGCCTGTAAACAAGATTTTTAATGCAGAACAAAGAGCAAAATTTCCTAATTCCTAATACAATAATTCAGCTTTTCTAACATACAATATTAATAGAATAAAACATCAAATAGCAAATCCTCTATATCTCATCAGAATTCCATAAAATATACTTTATAAAATGTGATCTCAGTAAAATTAATCTGTGGAGAAATGTAACAAATACTCAAGGTAAAAAAAATGCTACTCACTTTATCCAAAAGTTTCTTTGTTTCTTTTGTCAAATCATCATGGGAAAATTTACAGTTGTCTCCTTGATAACATTTTGCTCCACTATGATAAAACTTGCATGGGAATTCATGTAAACAAAAAAATTAAGGAACAGACAGAAGTAAATCAAGGTCTAATTTTTTTAAACCAAAAATGTAACTGTTATATAAGATGATTAAGTTCTAAAGATTTGCTATAAAACAATGTGCTAATAGCCAACAATACTGTATTTTATCTTTTTAAAAATTTGTTTAGAGAATAGATTTCATATTTAGTATTTTTTTAAAATATTTATTTTTAGTTGCAGTTGGACACAATACCTTTATTTTATTTCTTTTTATGTGGCGCTGAGGATCGAATTCAGGGCCTTGCTTGTGCTAGGCAAGTGTTCTACCGCTGAGCCACAACCCCAGCCCATATTTAGTATTCTTACTACAATTAAAAAAACTGTGCCAAATCAATAGGACTGTATGGTATATGATGCTGAAGCTTCTATAACTACATAGATAATTTATTGCTTATTTTAATATTAATATTTTCATTATGTAAAAATATTTAAAAAGCTTTAAGTCTATTATTCTATTAAAAATAGAAATCACTTTTTGAAAGAAAAAAAATTATAATGGTTGTATCAAATATGACAGTATTATAATTGTTAGGTCCTGCTACTTTTACAATAAAATTTACAGCATATATAAATTTTATATCAAGAATTTATATCTATGATGAAAACAATGAGGGTTTATATGTCATTTAAAAGCAAATACATCCAATACTTATCATACTTAAGTTTCTGGAGACAAACTTCTAAGAAACTATTAAATTTGGAAGAAAACTGAAAGTATACCATTTTGGGGTGGCGTAGGCCCAGAGAATACCCATTACTGCAATCATATTGACATGGTCAAGGGAGAAAAAAAATCATATGATCATCTTAGAGCATGCAAAAGATAGCTGATAAAATTCAAACTCCTAGCTTGGGATGTAGCTTCGAAGCAGAGTACTTTCCTAATGTGCACAAGGCTCTGGGTTCAATCCCCTGTTACCATGAAGAAAAAAAAATTCAAAATTCTTTTTTTGTTTGTTTATTGTTTTTCTTTTTCTTTTCTTTTTTTTTTTAATATAAAAAACTCTTGGTAATGTAAGAATTTACTTCCTTGATATTTAAAAAATCAATCTTAAAATTATAGCTACAAGCCAATCAAAGGACATTATCATCAAAACATGTCTTCCATAATCACTATAACCTAACTTTATTCTGAAAGTGTAGACAAAAAAATTAAAATTAAATCTGAAGTATAAATACTGTTAATGAAATAAAATGATCAGTATGTACAAATGGCATGATTATGAAAAAACCCAAGAACAAACTGAAAACTTTTAGAAACAAGAGTTTAATAAGTGTCTAGTTTCTGAAGAACTATGTCAAATCTGAAAAAATAATTTTTCTTGAGTAAGACAAATTTACTATAACATTTGATAAATTAGAGAGGTTTATATACCCTACCAAATATCAAACATATTCTTTTAGTGGGGAATAGTTAAATAGCACAAGGGATAAGAAGCAGAACTGTTTATTTAAAGAAAAAAACAAACTTGGGATCTGGTAAAAGTGCCTTTTACTTGCTTTGTTGCCCAAGCTGGCCCCCAAACTCACAAAGCCCCTGCCTCCACCTCCCAAAGACAGGTGATTCTAGGCATGTGCCATAGCACCCAGCCATTAGTTAAAATAAGACAGTGAGTTAACCATTTGGAAAAAAACAAGGTCAACTGATAAAAATATTTTAAAAGTTTTAATATTTGTACAGCCCAAAATAGAATTAAAAACATAAATATTAAGTAAAACAATAAAATCTTTACAAACATAGATCTCACTTTTGAGATCTTGAGTATATATTCATGTATACGTTCCCTCACACATCTATAATTTAGCATAGAAAAATGCCAAAAAGGTTTAAGTTGAACTGTAGGTACAGTTACCCTGAAGAATGACATTACTTAAGACTTTTTTAAAAAGTTAGTTTGAAAGTTATCAAACATATGCCAAAAATAAAGATAATAAAATAAACTTCCTCATGCTAACCATGGAGACCAGTTTCATCATTTGGCAATTTTGTGATTCTGAATCACCTCTACACTCTCTTCACAACTCACTCCAAAAACTTGAGAATTTTAGAGCATATTCCAAACATATTTCATCTGCAAATATTTCCATATCTATTTCAAACAGATAAATGATACTTTTTCTTACCAATATAACTTCATTATCAACTTGACAAACTTACTGCATTAATTTCAACTAGTACTCAGTCAATATAGAAAGATTCCAGGCTGTCTAAGAAGATTTTTTTTATGCCAGCTGTGGTGGAGCATGCCTATAATCCTAGTAACTGGGAGGGCTGAGGCAGGGGGATTGAAAGTTTGAGGCCAGTCTCAGCAATTTATCAAAGCCCTAAGCAACTTAGCGAGACCCTGTGTCAAAATAAAAGTTTTAGAAAGGGTTGGAGATGTAGCTTGGTGTAAAGCACCCCTGGATTCAATTTCTAGTACAAAAAAAAAAAAGAACCTAGAAAAATAAATCTGAGAATCTAATATATCATAGCATATAAAGTAGCAAAGCAACACAGATATGAAGGCAAACAAATTCACAGAAAACCCAGGGGAAAAAAAGTATGTATTAACATTCTTGTCTCCGTCAAGATGGAGTTTCAAGTCCATGGAGAAAGCTTCATTAGTTGTAAGCACAGCAAGCAAACATCTTAGGTATTCTGGGGAAAACTGACATGGAAAGGTGCATAACATATATTTTTTTAAATGGGCCACTACACTATATATATAATGAAATTCTCACTTGCCTAGGAGCAAGAGTACAATTTAAATGTATATATTTCCAAAAGGAAACAGAGGGAGAATATACAGTGTTAATCACTGGGTGGTAGATTTGATGAGACTGATTTTATAATTTTCAACAAAGATAATTTATAATTTTTAACTTATGAACCTAAGTAAAAAGTTGTAAGATAAATATTTTTCTAACTATTTCTTCAGGATGTACAATGCTTAAAATATTTTAAGCAGATTATTTTATACACAAAGCTTCTTTTTTAATAGTTTTCTCTAAAGGAAGTTATTTCATTTTCCTAAAGAACAAAAGCCAGTTTGCCTATTCTGGGTTTATGTAATATGTTGTTTTAAACATAAAACTAAGCTAAGATTTCTAAACTGTATTTATGATTTTTTTAAAACCACAATGAGACTTTAAAACCTCAACATTCTGGTTAACACACATCTTTAATAAAGGATATTATGCATATAAATGCAGTTCTCTCCTTTGGTACAGTATCCTTGTAAATAAAACTTGCAGATCTCTTTTCTCTTTTCCAACTCAGCATCATGATCAAATTTACATTGATCTCCCTGTTCAAAAAAAGAAAAATAAGTGAGAAATGAAAAAGAAACAAAGAAACATTTGAACTTTATTTCCTCCATGGGGTTTCATAACGGAATTATGGTCCTTCTCTTCAGTCTTTAAATAATGAGCTAATAATAATGTAAACGATCTCTTAGGTTCCCTGCCCAAGCAGTGGACATGGCTATGTGCAGTGAGGCAGCAGAGTGAGCAAGGCCTCAGAGGACACTGCCCACCAGCACTCACCATTTCCAGCTGACTTTCCATGGGATCTTATTTAGTCTCTTGGTGCCATATATAAAGTGGAGATGATAACAATAACTACTTGGTAAGGTCACTATAAGGATTATTTCATATTCATTGTAGTATTTGCCACACTGACAGTACTTGCCACAAATATTAACATATTCGTTAAATAAAATCTGATTTCTACAAATTGTGATAGTGTTGTCCCAGAATTAATTAAATGAGATCCAGTGTACAGTAATTTCATACAAGATATATTTTAAAGAACTAGTTTTATGGGGCTGGGACTATGGCCCAGTGGTAGTCCACTTGCCTGGCATGTGTGAGGCACTGGGTTTGATTCTCAGCACTGCATATAAATAAAAGTCTATCAACAACTAAAAAAAAAGAACTAGTTTTATTATGATTATGTGAGAAATGAAACAAAAATTAACCACTCCCATAAAAGACTTTTTTTTTTTAAAGAAATTTTTTAATATTTATATTTTAGTTTTTGGTGGACACAACATCTTTGTTTGTATGTGGTGCTGAGGATCGAACCAGGGCCGCACGCATGCCAGGCGAGCGGACTACCGCTTGAGCCACATCCCCAGCCCCCCATAAAAGACTTTAAATGTTAAAGATTATTTTGGAAGTCAGAATGACTTGTGACACTCTTTACACATCTTACCTTAATACATCTTCCTTCCAAGAAGTATTTACAGATTTGCTTTCCTTTGTGTTCCACGGTGTGCTGGTTAATAAATTCCTGAGTCATCACCTTCCATTTTTTCCCTGGTTTACTATACTGCACGAAAAAGTTTTATTTAAATGAAACATATGAAATATTAACAGGTATTAAAAAATATATAGTTAAGTGGGTCTGGACAGCAGTATAAACTGACTAATAAGGTTAATCAAGATTGAATATTTTGATACTATTCATTTAACTGGAGAGAGAGCTATTTCTAGTATTCTGCTTACTGCTACCACTGATTGAAAAGAAGCTGCTTCTATTTTAATAAGAATGTAATACTTATATTTTTAAAACAAAATTATAAAAAACTCAAAATATCACAATAATACTGTTTTGGCAAAGATGCCATAAAATATGCACTTTCATATACTGCTAGTAGTTATGTCATAAAAAAGTTAAAATATCCATATTAGAGTCAGGGGCCAGTCAGGAGGTAGTTCAGTAGTAAAGCACTTGCCCAGGATGCACAGGTCCTAGGTTTAATCCCTAGAACTGCAAAAACAAATACATTAATAAAATTACATATTGTTTAACAAACAATTTGTAGATTTCAGGATTATACTGAAGGAATTCTCAGAAAGGCAAATATAGATTTATCTATAACAATTATTACTAAAGAACTACTTACATAATAACAATACACAAAACCAGAAACACTCAACACATCCCAAAGTAGGAGACAAGTCAAATATATTATAAATACATTAAGGTACAGTCATAATTAAATCATGTGATAGAGACCTTTGTGATATAGGAAATGCTTATAATACCTTATGAAGTGAAAAACTGATCCCAATTTTAAAATAATAAATAAAGGCAAATAAAAAAAGACTCAAATAAAATACCTTTACATTTTAGTGTCTGTATTTGGATGGTGGGATTAGAGGTTTTCTAAGTATGTGGCTTTTCTGTGTTTTCTTTAAGGGGAAAAAAAAAGCAAAAATGAGCACAAATAAACTTTTTCTACTCTTAAAAAAAAGAAAAAACGGGCTGGGGATGTGGCTCAAGCGGTAGTGCGCTCGCCTGGCATGCATGCGGCCCGGGTTCGATACTCAGCACCACATACCAACAAAGATGTTGTGTCCGCTGAGAACTAAAAATAAATAAATTAAAAAAAAAAAAAGAAAAAACAAGAATTATTACCTTTAAGTTTATAAAATTAAGAAAAATACATTAGGAAAAATTATGAAAAAGAATCCAAGTACTTTTTCTTTTCCTTAGTTCTCCCCAGTCCTCTATTCAGTGTAAAAATATTGTATAAAAACAGTGCATAAAAGTACTAGGTAAATCGGGCACAGTGGCTCATGCCTATCATCCCAGCAGCTTGGGAGGCTAACCCAGGAGGATTATGAGTTCAAAGCCAGCCTCAGCAGAAGTGAGGCACTACGCAACTCAGTGAGACCCTGTTTCTAAATAAAATACAAAATGGGGCTGGGGATGTGACTCAGTGGCCAAGTGCCCCTGAGTTCAATCCCCATTCCATAAACAAAAAGTGCTGAGTAAGAAGGCAGAATATGGTGCTGAGACAAGCTGAATATAATGAGCTACATGCATAAATTTTATAAAATAATACTGTTTTTCAAGCACCTACTGTGTAATGTGTCTTGTACATCATAGGTATTTGCTCTTTGATTGCCTTCCCTCTTTCCCTTAGTTTGCAAGATGCAGTACAATCTATTGAAAATAATTGCAGAGCAAACCTATGAAGCAAGAGATAGCCAACTAAAATATGATCCTCAGCACTCACTGCTGATATTGGGTTTTACTATAAGAAATCTGAAGAGGGCACAAGAATACCAAATAACCTAGATGTTTGTTTTAAAAATATAAGTATACTCAACTTGCCCCAGGAAAACACGATGAAATTACTTCTACTGATAAAATCATTTAAAATAATCTTCAATTTGCGTAAATTTGATTCATAAACATTTTTATAGTTAGGCATGGATTCATTTAAAACAGCCAAATATAAATGACTAGCTCACATATGCCTTCTCTACTAAGAATTGTGGCTATAATAAAATAATCAGCCACAGGGAGTACATCATGCAAAGTTCTATAAGCCAACCTGAAGAATTAAGTCTGAAGTTGAAAAACGAAAAATTAGCTGGTCATGGTGGCACATGCCTGTAATCCAGCAACTGGGGATTGGGGGCAAGGCAGGAAGACTGCCAAGTTGAAGGTCAACCTCAGTAATTTAGTGAGAGCCTAAGCAACATAGAAAGACCCTGTCTCAAAATTTAAAAAATTAAAAAGGGCTAGGGATATAGCTCAATGGTAAAGTGCCCTTGGGTTTCATCTCCAGTACCAAAAAAGAAAAGTGAAAAAGTAAGTAACCTCATACACACACATACACACACACACCCTGAAAAATGCAACAAATTGAATTTATGTTTCATTAATAACTCCCTCTGTCAACATTACTTTCCAATATTGCTTCATTATTTTAATAAAGGATGTGGGTAGATTTATTTAGTTCTGTAGTTTAAACAGGTACAAAATATCTCAGTAACATTAACTATAGGCATCTTGGCTATAATACTACAATCAAAGTACTCTGGAAAATCCTAACATTAGCAGTTAACAGCTGCTAACATCTCTTTAAACAGTATACTAAGAAGAACATCTTAAGAAATCTCTGCCTATAACCTTTAAACTCATAAATGAGGAAAATAAACATTTTCAAATTACAACATATAGTTCATTTAAAGTTGCAGCTTTAAATAACCTACTCCTGACTCCGTATAATGCAATCATATCTCAATAACAGTGGCGAGATCTAGTCCAGAGAGTTGCTATGGGTTGAAATATATTCAGATTTCAGCTCAACACATACTTTAAAAAGAGCTACTTCATGCAAGGTATGTAAGTTTATCCTTCGAACCATTCACATTCTCTTCTCTTCTTTTCAGTACCTTCCACTGTAAAAAGTAAGTTGATTTACCATTGCCTCCCTTCTTGGTCTTGCTCCATGTTGAGCTGTTAGCAGTTTATTGGTATTTTTTATCTGGGGAAGAGGACTCCTAGGGAAGGAATGCCAAGGGAGGACTAATGGGATACAGTTTTGCTTTGAAACATCTCAATTTTACTTTAAGGTTCTTTCCCACATACAAATTTTATTTCTAGGTCACCTAAATTTGTACTTCTATTCCATAATCATGACTACTTAAAACAACTCTCACTTAGGGGAAGTTTATTTATACTCCTTTAATCTGAGCTGGACATTTTTTATTTATTAGGAAAGAGGTGTTAAAATCATAATGCTTTCTTTTCAACCGAATATATTTTTGTTATTATCTTTTTTTTTAGTTGTAGATGGACACAATACCTTTGTTTTTATTTATTTTTACGTGGTGCTGAGGATCAAACCCAGTGCCTCACATGTATGAGGCAGGTGTTCTACCACTAAGCTACAGTCCCAGCCCCAACAACCAAATATATTAAGAGATAGGAAAACTCTAATCTTTCTTAAATATAAATTCTCAGTACCTCTTGAAAGTCATCCATTCCTGAAAAAACACTGGGCCCTTTATTGACTCTTCCCCCACGGTCTTTTCGTTTGATTTTCTTCGGCAAACCACGTCCACGACTAATATTAAAACTTTTAATCCTCTGCTCAGTACCTAAAAAAGTTAAAATATACTTCAAATATTATAGAAAAACAACATATCTAGCAATCTATTAGTTTATGAGGAACAGTATATTTTAATAATCTACAGTATACATTGCATCCTTTTATTTCTCCTCAGGTTCCATGAAAAAAATTTAACTGAATCTTTACATTTTACCTCCTGGGTACTGGTTCTTGTTTCTTTGTTTCCAAAGAGATGTTAACAACACAGGAAGCAAGGAACAAGAATATTCAGAGATAGAGAAGCCAACACTAGTATTTTTTCTTTTAATTTTCCTTAAGACAGGATAATTAGCCAGCATTTTTTGTTTTCTTAAGCCTTTCTGTTTTAAAGAGAGGTAAGCATTATATTCATATTTAAGGAATACAACATAGATATCAGTGGATAATTTGGAGTAAACCAAATTTCTATTGATAATTTTGAACAGATATATATCTCCAACTAAAAATCATACTGGTTTTGTGCTTTTGAAAAATTTGGTACTTAAAAGTACTTAAAAAGATACTCCAATTTTTAAAAATTTTATGTTAGGATGGTACATTATTATACAAAGTAATTTCTCATTTTGCCAAAGTCACACTGAAAGTGATCTAATATCTTTAAAATCTATAATACAACCAATAAACATCAAAAAAACTTTCAATTTCATTGACATAAATCAAAGAAATTAAGACTTTGAAAAATAACATAACAATTTTCACCTCAAAGAATAATAAATCTCTGTTGGTAGGACTTAGGAGAAATCTGAATTTTTACCCACTGATGAGGGCCTTGTAGTTATAAAACTGGTACATCACCTTTTGGCTATCCACTTGGCATATGAGTCAAAAAATCTTTAAATGTGTATCTGTGTCTTTTGACTTTGCAAATTTACTTTTCATAATTTATTCTTATGTTTGCCAATGTTTTCTGAGGTATGTACAACTAAGTTTATCACAGGGTCAATCACAGAATTGGTTGCAACTTGTATCCCACATAATCACTGTACTTCCACACATACCTAACAATTTGTTAAGGCAAATTATGGTACATCTATTTAACTGACTAGAACACAGGTGTTAAAAGCTATTCATTAACTTTAGAGTAACTGAGATATAATTCACAGTCAAGGGAGGAAAAAAAACAAGGTACAACAATATGTATAGGGTTTTTTTGTGTGTGTATGTGTGTGTTTGTGTGTGTTGTGCTGGGGATTGAACCCAGGGCCTTGTGCATGTGAGGCAAGCACTCTACCAACTGAGCTATATCCCCAGCCCTGTACAGTTTTTTTTTTTTTGGGGGGGGATGGGGGGGTTGAAAATAATGGTCAGAAAAATTCTGGAAGAATGTGGGCCCAAGATAATTATATTTATTATCTTTGAGTGATAGACATTCAAATTATTTTTGATTTCTGTCTAATCACTGCTAAATTATCTTTTCTATACAAGAAAAGTTTTCTGCATTGACCATATATTGTTTTCACAACTTAAAGGAGAAGACATGGAAGGAAAAAAAAAAAGAAATGCTCAGTTCTTTAAAAGGACAAAGAAGGAAGAGCTTGAAAGGAAAAAAACCCATGTGAAAGTGATGAAAGAGTTTTCTCCATGTTACTCATCTTCCCAAGTGAGATTGCTACAAATGGACTCCAGAGACACATTGATCTGTTAAGATAGCCTGCATGTAGATAAATTCCTTTCCCTTTAGATCAACTAAGCCTTGATTCATATTTTTCAAAGGAATTTTGCTAGAAAATCAAGAAAAAAACAAAGCCATAGAAATAATCAAATTTATTCATAACTGACTTCTTTATTCAAAGATAAGGCAGATCACTACTTCACCTCAACCTCATCTTGCTCTAGTTTTCTTGAAGCAGATAGATCAACAAGCTGAAACTTTTTTTGTGTTTATTTTTTTTCAGTACTAAGGCTTGAACCAAGGGTCACTCTATCACTGAGCTACATACATCCCTGGTCCTTTTTATTTTGAGTCAAGGTTTCACTAAGTTGCCCAGACTGGCCAGGAACTTGTGATCCTCTTACCTTAGTGTTCTGAACTGCTAGGATTATAGGCATGCACCACTATGCCCAGTTTAACTAGCCAGTACTTAAAGCTGATTTAAGCCTTCTATGACCTAAAGTTTCTTCATCTATTGTCTCCAGCTCCCAAGCTACCAACTTGTACTGGTCTCTCCAGGGACCAGATACTTCAATATAGCGATAAACTGGTGATCACTGCAAAAATTTCTTAGATTATGTTCATATTTTCAATCTTAAAGGCTTCATAGCCCCATGTACATTTACCTAGCAAAGATGATCACCATATTTACAGTTCCCAGTATTGTCTTTATTGGTCTAAAATATAAATAACACATAGGTTAACAAAGATAATATCAAATAGAAGGAGAGAATATAAGAAAGTTTCATTATATGTTTATACTTTTAAATTATTAGAACATCTTTATAGTTGAAATATTAAGATATCATACAGATTGATTGTAGCCTAAAGGCTTACATAAAAAGGAAAATGGATCTGGGTACCATAAGAATTAGCAAATCTTGAGAAAGGCTAAAACATTTCTCAATTTTTAATCTACACTTTGCTGTTCAGTAAGGCTCTCATATTCTAAAAGACTAATTTCAGACTTACCTTGCTGAGCTCCTTTCAGTCTTGTTTTTTTCCCTGGTTCTTTAGAAAATGATGACCCTAAAGAAGTACTTGAGGTTTCTTTAGCTTGTCTGTACTGTTTCAGCTGATTGGCAAAATCTTCCTCTGTTTCCTGACTGTAGCTACCAAAGTTGTCATCACTGTAGCTACCAAAGTTGTCATCACTGTAGGCACTGTACTCGTCATACTCTTTACTTTTAAACTTCTTGTTATGTTGATCCTTCTTTGAAGTCATGTAGCTTCCTGATATATGTCCATGCTAAGTGAAGATGGACAAGCATTATACGAATTTTTCAGTTATATATAGCAGTTGACAGTAACACATGATGTCTTTTCTTCCCAGCAAATTGGGAGAAGAAAAGGAGAAAAGACAGTTATTAATTCTGTTTCTTGATTCGTATTTCCCTCTGACACTATTTAACACGAAATTCAGAAGGCTAAATGCAACTCTGATGATATTAAATGTTATGGTCTTCCTTCTTTAGCTTTTATTTTCCATGTTCTATGTCTCAATATCCATATGCACAGGAATACCTAAAATCCACACCACCATACACAAATTCCTTCTTGAAAGAAAGAAAGAAAGAAAGAAAGAAAGAAAGAAAGAAAGAAAGAAAGAAAGAAAAGGACTTTTGAAAATTAGGAAAAGATAGTAAAATCACTTAGGGAAGTATAGCAAAATATGTACATATTCTCTTGCACTGAAAAATTCTCAAATGACATTATGCTTAATAGAAAACTGTATGTGTGTAAAATTTTGGAAAATGTTTATCTAAGGTCTAATAGAAAAACAGAACTTTCCCTAATGGTGAGAAAGCTCATCATTAGAAACTGTTCATTGCAATAAGCATTCATTTTATTGCTTCCTTACTAAAGCATGGGAAAACAAACAAAAAGTACAATTTAATATTACAAGTTTATTTAATAATAATGTTCAAGTCTGTCTCTTTCATGTCAGTATTTTTATTAATTCTATCACATCCTGACAATTTTTTAATCAAGCAAGAAAAATTTCACATCATTACAACTTGAAGATCTAGAAAAGACCAGACCATGCATCATCATTAGATTAATGAATTTTAAATGTGATATATATTCTAATATTTACCTAACTTTACCTAAAAACATAATGTTTTTCAATTTTTAAATGAAGACAATTTAATAAAACTTAGCAACCTCAACTATAAAGCAGGCATAGAGAAAATACAGAAATAACCCTAACAAACTAGTAATTTGGTTTCTAAACTAACAAGCGATTAGCAACACCAAATTAGGAGAAAGAATAGAGCTTTTATAAATAAAAGTAATGGCATCATTACTTTCCTAGCACAAAATTAATAATTTTTATAATGAAGACTTTGTATGTCACAACAGATTTAAGATATAAAATCACATTGTTTCAAATTGTTTCATTTAAAACATTTCAAATAATTTTTGAACTTAAAGAGGCTGATGTCACCTATCTTCAAAATTTAATTCTGCCCTATTTTCTAATTACATATGATAAAGTACTGTGATGTGCTATCAGTTGAACTGTCTCCCCAAAATTCTCATGTGGAATCCCTAACCCCCACTATCTCAGAATATGACTATTTTTGGAGGCAGGGCCTTTAAAGAAGTAATTAAAACAATGTGGCTTTAAGAATGGGATCCAATCCAATTTAACTGGTGTCCTTATAAGAGGAGGAAATCTAGACACAGAGACCTTGGTATGCTTATGCACAGAGGGAAGATCACACAAAGCCAAAGCAGTGAGAAGGTGTCCATCTCCAGACCAAGGGAAGAGGCTGAGAACACACCCTTCCCCTGTGTCCTCAGAGGAAACCAGTCCTGCTGGCACCTTGACCTTGGACTTCCAGCTTTCAGACTGTGACCAGTCCCAGCATATATGGCAACACTAGCAAACAAATATACAATGTATTCTTTATTTTCAAGGATTTAGAATTTGCAGCATACCCCTGAAAAGACATTTTTCAAAATACCATAAAATAAAACTTTTGAAAGTTTTATTCTTTCCTTTAAAAGGCGGTACCTCAAAACCACAACCAGTTTCCAAATTAAAAAAAAAAAAAAAAGGAAATAACAAGTGATCACAGTGTTGGCAAGGATGTGGAGAAGTTTACATTACTAATGGAGCTCTAAATGTTTTTCTCTGCTGAGAATAGTTTAGCACTTCCTTAGAAAGTTAAACATAGAATAACCATATGAGGGTTTTCAAAATGGGGGACTAGAGGAGGTCGCTTTCCTGGCTGCTCCATGGGGTGAAACCAAGAAGGTAGACAGGCAGCTTCTCAGCAAGGTGGATAAATTTTAAAAAGGGTGGGGGAACTTTATTAGAATTAAAAATTGGATATTCAAGGCAGATCAGGGACTCAGGAGGTTGGATATAATAAAATAAGGAGAAATCCCCAGCAGCACAGTCACTCCTGTGGCTGGGTCAGAAGCACCAGCCAGAGAAGTCCCTCCACAGCACAGTGGAGTGATAAGGGAATTAAAGGAACTTGCATTTTAGGGAGCACTGAGATCAGGGACACTGACTAAACTGAGAGGTGCACTGCACAATATCCTAATGTGGGAAGGAGCCACCATCTCTCCAAATGGCCTGAGGAGCACAAAGGAAGGATCCATTTTGCATAGGGGACTAAGAATTGGGTCCCCTATCACAGGAGTAGATCCCAGGGGTATAGTCTTCCAGCATGGATAGGCAATTACTCGGCCTTGGAGGCGTGCTGATTTAAAATCTCCAGACCAAGTGACATTCAACAAAGGGCTTGGAGCCCACCTTAGCATAACCCTGCCTCCAGGAATCCCACCTACAGGATTACCTCTCTCCAGCAATCTGGAGGGTGGAGCATCATACTCCAGATGACCCCACCTAAAATGGCTGAGAAGCTGAAAATCTTTTAAACTGCAACAGAAAGAAATTTTTTTTAACTTTTCATTGATATTTTCTCTCTCTCTCTCCCTCCCTCTCTCTCTCTCTCTCCCCTCTGTTTAATTGTGACCTTAATGGTTCATAGATATTTATAAATACTCATTTTTTTCATTTCTAGCATTTTTGAAGCCAGTTATTTTTCATGGATCACTCTGTCAAGGACTAGGATGTTTGATTAGTATATTTTAGTTTTGTTTTATATCTTTTATTTTTAATTTTTTAAATTTTTACTTTATTTTTCTCTTACCTGTTTTCCTTGATTCTCTTTCACTCTTTTCTTACACTAACAGCCAATTTCCATTGTTGTTGTTTTCAGTCTTCCTTTAATCTTTTACTTCGATCTTCTCTATCCTCCCTCCTTCATCACATCCTATATCACTTCTGTTCTCTCTTTGTCCATAATTTAAAATTATAAACGCTTTTGCAAAATTGCTATTTTTATTATAGGCAATAACTGATCATATAATTTGTTTACTGTCACAATTAATAGTCTAGATGCCATAGCAGCAACTATTTGGTTTAATACTGTATATTCTTTGCTTGTTTGTTGTTATTATTTGTCTCCCCCTAAACAGTGAGGTACTAGAAACCCTCAGGGACACTAACAGATCCATACTGTTAGATGGGTAGCCACACAAACAATAATAAAAAACAAGGGAACAAATCATCCCCCCAAAACCAAGATATTCTAATAACAGAATCCATCCATACCACAGTATAAAAAATATCATAGAAGAAATTTAGAATGTACATAGTTAAATTGATTTGTGAAGTAAAGGACAATATACAGAGAGAAACAGAAAATACAGGAAGTGAAAGATCACTTCAATGAAGAGAAATTCTGGGGAAAAAAACAAGCAGAAATCCTTGAAATTAAGGAATTAATAAACCAAATTAAAAATTCAATTGAAAGCATCACCAACAGACTAGATTACTTGAAAGACAGAATTTCAGGGAATGAAGACAAAATATATAATCTTGAAAACAAGGTTGATCATGGAGAAATGATGTTAAGAGACTATGAACAGAACTTCCAAGAAATATCAGATAACCCAAAAAGAACAAATTAAAAATTTATTAGGATAAATGAAAGCTCAAAGATACAAACAAAAGGAATGTACAATCTTTTCAATGAAATAATATCAGAAAATTTCCCAAACTAAAGAATGAAATGAAAAATCAAATCCAGGAGGCTTACAGGATCCCAAATATGCAAAATTACAAAAGACCCACACAAAGGCACATCATTATGATAATGCCTAACATAGAATAAGATAAAGAATAACAAAGAATAAGGATAAAATTTTAAAGGTTGCCAGAGAAAAATGACAGGTAACATTTAAGGGAAACCAATCTGGACCTCAGATGATCTCTCAACCCAGACCCTTAAAGCTAGGAGGTCTTAGAATAATATATACCAAGCTCTGAAGGAAAATGGATACCAGCCAAGAATACTATGCTCAGCAAAATTAAGCTTAAGAATTGTTGATGGGCTGGGAATGTGGCTCAAGCGGTAGTGCGCTCGTCTGGCATGCGCGGGGCACTGGGTTCGATCCTCAGCACCACATTAAAAAAAAAAAGTAAAATAAAGATGTTGTGTTCACCAAAAAACTAAAAAAATAAATATTAAAAAAAAATCTCTTTAAAAAAAAAAGAATTGATGATGAAATAAAATATAAACCTTCCATGATAAACAAGTTAAAAGAATTCACAACTAAAAAGCCTGCACTGCAAAACATAATAAGACATTTCATGAAGAAGAAATGAAAAATAAAAGTGAAAACCTGAAAAGGGACGAACTACATTAAAAGAACAGTGAGTTACTGGAGAAACTAATTCAAATTAAAAACAGAAATAAATTAAAATGACAGGGAATAAAAATCATATCTCAATAATAACATTGATAGTAAATGTCCTAAATTTATCAATCAAAAGACACAGACTGGCAAATTGGATTAAAAACAAGACCCAACAATATGCTGTCTCCAAGAGACTCACCTCATGGGCAAAGACATACACAGACTGAAAATAAAAGGATGAGAAAAACATCATTCACATGGATCTCATAAACAAGTAGGGGTTTCTTTCTTTCTTTTTTTTAATAGCTTTATTTTATTTATTTATTTTATGTGGTGCTGAGAATCAAACGCAGGGCATTGCACATATTAGGTGAATGCTCTACCGCTGAGCTACAACCCCAGCCCCACAAGTAGGGGTTTCTATCATCATATCAGATATGATGGACTTCAAGCCAAAGTTAATCAGAAGGGACAAAGAAGGACATTTCATGGTGCTTAAGGGAACTATATATCAACCAGACATAA